ATGTTGGCACGAATACAATCAAATCGTACAAGCTCAGTGCCAGTGAACATTTCACCATAGAAACTCAGACGGGCAGTGATGGAACTCAGTATGTTGATTTGGTGTTGACTAAGTCTTTAGACAGAGAAGAGAAAGCTGTTCATAATTTAATATTGACTGCTGTGGACGGCGGGGTCCCTGTGCGCTCTGGCACTGCCAATATCATTGTTAGAGTGCAGGACACAAACGATAATCCTCCTCGGTTTGACAAGCAGACTTACACAATTAATATGACAGAGAATTCCCCCATCGGAACCTTAGTGATGAAGCTTAACGCCACAGATCTCGACGAGGGTCTAAATTCAGAGATAGTGTACTCATTCACCCTCTACACGTCAGAAAAAACACAGGATGTATTTGCATTGAATCCCAACACAGGAGAGATAACTATAAAAGGAACTATTGACTATGAAGATATGAAATTTTATGAGCTGCACATTGAGGCAAGAGACAAAGGGACACATCCCCTGCTGGGGCAGTGCAAAGTAGTCGTCCACGTGACGGATATGAATGACAATTATCCAGAAATTACCATACAGTCTGTAAAAAACACAGTGGATGAAAACATCCCAGTCGGAAGTGTCATTGCTCTGGTAGGCATAAGTGACAGAGACACTGGCGTTAATGGAAATGTAAGCTTATCTATAAATCAGCCCATGCCCTTTATTCTTAATAAGTCATCAGACAGACCCATGCATTACAAGCTCATAGTGTCTGAGCCCTTGGATCGTGAAACAGTACCTGAATATGATATCACACTGATTGTGACAGATGCAGGGACCCCGCCTTTATCTGATAACGAAACAATAATCGTGCATCTATTGGACGTCAATGACAACGCGCCACAGTTCCCTCAGTCATTTTATACTATCCGTGTGATGGAGAATAACGCACCTGGAGCCTTGCTCAGTTCACTCACTGCGTTTGACCCTGACCTCCATGAAAACCAGTATCTAGTTTATTTCATCCTAGAGAAGGAGATAGCCAACACCTCCATGTCCATGCTGTTCTCCATCAAACCAGAGAAAGGAAATCTTTACGCACTGAAAACTTTTGACTATGAGATCGAGAAGGAGTTTCTTTTCCACATCGAGGCCAGAGACTCTGGCTCTCCTCCACTCAGCAGCAACGTCACGGTCCACATCATTATTGTGGACCAGAACGACAACGCTCCGGTTATTGTGTCTCCGTGGCGCGCGCACGGCTCGGTGGTGGAGGAAAAGATCCCCAGATCCACCGATAAAGGCTCTCTGGTTGCCAAGGTGATAGCCTTGGACACCGACTCGGTGCACAACTCTCGGATTACCTACCAGTTTCTACAGGTGACTGACGCCACCTTGTTCAGTCTGGACCAATACAACGGAGAGATCCGGACTATGAGGATGTTCAGTTACAGAGATCCGCGTCACCAGAGACTGGTTGTTGTTGCCAAGGACAACGGGGAGCCTGCTCTCTCTGCTACAGTCACCATCAAGCTGTCCACGATGGAGACTGCCGTTAAGGCCTACTCTGACATGACTGAGGTGCCTCTAGAATATGACATCTTCTCAGACCTCAACCTGTATTTGGTCATCGGTCTGGGCTCGGTGTCATTTCTCCTGCTCATCACCATATTGGTCACCATCGTGCTCAAGTGTCAGAAACCCAAGCCCAGCAAAGCGGCTCCTCCCTGCAGGAACAGTGTGATCAGTGAGAGGAACTCCACCATCGCAGATTCCACTCTGGTCTCCAACGATGCCTACTGGTACAGTCTGTTTCTAGCAGAGACCAGGAAAGGAAAGCTGGTGGTTAGACAGCCTGTGCCAAAGGGCTCCAGATACATCGTGTCCAGTATACCGAGAGGGACAGGACTCACAGACACTAGTGACTCAGCACCATCCACTCTGCAGGTGAGAGTCCTCTGTACACATTTCTCTATACATATATCAATACTGAGTGACGTTTTGATTTACATCATAGTTTTAGAGGTAAAAATGTCCATCACTTTAGCGCATAAATATTGTAAATTAATCTGATTATTCTTGTCAGCGATACTCAATTTAAACTCACAATTATACTAAGAAACAGGCTTGTAAGGCACATCATGATACATGCAGTGAAAAGTATCGTAGAAAACCCAAAAGGTGGCGCTGTTTTATTAGTAAAATACCAGCCAATAAACGCCATGACAGCGAATCGTTGTCATCAGGGCAGAGAAGGAAATAACCGGACAGCTCCGTGGTGCTGAAACACCAGTCCGAAAACGGCTCCTGCGGTCTAGCACTGACATATTTTCCGAATTTTTATTGTGTGAATATGCTCGAGATCAAAGTCGTTAAAGAAAAATCGGACTTTACTGGAAACTTACACTACATGATTTGAGGTGCTGTGAAACCGGACAGAACAATGGGGCCGTTTGTGACAGTGCAGTGTTGCCAAAGGTACGTGCTGCTCGTTATTCTTCTTTCGTTTGTTCCTAATATATCGACTTCAGTGACTCATTATTCAATACCCGAGGAGATGAAAGAAGGATCAGTCGTCGCTAATCTCGCTACCGATCTCGGCCTGGATGTTAAAACATTGAATCAGAGGAAGATGCGTCTCGACATTATTGCAAATAAGAAATATCTGGAAGTGAACAAAGAGACTGGTGAACTGTATATTGTTGAGAAGATCGACAGGGAAAGTATTTGCCCTACAAAGTCATTAGCATCTTGCTATCTCAAATTGGAAATAATATTAGAAAACCCAGTACGCATCTTTAATATTGAAGTAGAAATATTAGATATGAACGACAACGCCCCACAGTTTCGCCGAGACGTCATTCATTTAGATATATCTGAAGCAACACCAAAAGGAGAGAGATTCTCTCTCAGTAATGCAGTTGATCCTGATGTTGGAAGCAATTCAGTGAAAACCTACCATCTGAGTGAGAGTGAACAATTCACTATTGAAGTGCAAACTGGAAGAGATGGGTCTAAATTTGCAGAATTAATCTTAACTAAGACTTTAGATCGAGAGCAGCAGGCTGTTCATAATTTAATACTCACAGCTGTAGATGGAGGAACACCTGCTCGATCTGGCACTGCAAGTGTTATTGTTCGTGTTTTAGACACAAATGATAACGCTCCTGCTTTTGACAAAGCGAGTTATAATATAAAAATAATGGAAAATTCTCCCATTGGCAGCCTCGTTGTTCATCTCAATGCAACAGATTTAGATGAAGGGTCAAACTCTGATGTAACATACTCATACAGTTTATATACGTCAGAGAAAACACAAGAAACATTTAATCTGAATCCTTCCACTGGTGAAATTACTGTTAAAGGAATGTTAAATTATGAAGACTTCAAGATTTATGACATGGAAGTTATAGCAACTGATAAAGGAGCCACTGCATTATCAGGACAATGTACTATAAAGATTGTGGTTGAAGACATGAATGACAACCACCCAGAAATATCTATTAAATCATTTCAGAGTCCAGTCAATGAAAACATAGAATTAGACACAGTGATAGCAGTAGTTAGTGTCAGCGATAAAGACTCAGGTGACAATGGAGTGGTTGATCTTCATATTCCAGATAATATGCCTTTCAAACTGAGGGAATCCTCTGATAACTATTATGAATTAGTAGTGTCAGAGCCATTAGACCGCGAGAAGGTCCCAGAATATGACGTCACTTTCACGGTGACAGACAGAGGTTCTCCTCCTTTATCTGACAATGAAACTATGACGTTAGAGCTGCTGGATGTTAATGACAATGTTCCACAGTTCCCTCAGTCATTTTATACTATCCGTGTGATGGAGAATAACGCACCTGGAGCCTTGCTCAGTTCACTCACTGCGTTTGACCCTGACCTCCATGAAAACCAGTATCTAGTTTATTTCATCCTAGAGAAGGAGATAGCCAACACCTCCATGTCCATGCTGTTCTCCATCAATCCAGAGAACGGGAATCTTTACGCACTGAAAACTTTTGACTATGAGATCGAGAAGGAGTTTCTTTTCCACATCGAGGCCAGAGACTCTGGCTCTCCTCCACTCAGCAGCAACGTCACGGTCCACATCATTATTGTGGACCAGAACGACAACGCTCCGGTTATTGTGTCTCCGTGGCGCGCGCACGGCTCGGTGGTGGAGGAAAAGATCCCCAGATCCACCGATAAAGGCTCTCTGGTTGCCAAGGTGATAGCCTTGGACACCGACTCGGTGCACAACTCTCGGATTACCTACCAGTTTCTACAGGTGACTGACGCCACCTTGTTCAGTCTGGACCAATACAACGGAGAGATCCGGACTATGAGGATGTTCAGTTACAGAGATCCGCGTCACCAGAGACTGGTTGTTGTTGCCAAGGACAACGGGGAGCCTGCTCTCTCTGCTACAGTCACCATCAAGCTGTCCACGATGGAGACTGCCGTTAAGGCCTACTCTGACATGACTGAGGTGCCTCTAGAATATGACATCTTCTCAGACCTCAACCTGTATTTGGTCATCGGTCTGGGCTCGGTGTCATTTCTCCTGCTCATCACCATATTGGTCACCATCGTGCTCAAGTGTCAGAAACCCAAGCCCAGCAAAGCGGCTCCTCCCTGCAGGAACAGTGTGATCAGTGAGAGGAACTCCACCATCGCAGATTCCACTCTGGTCTCCAACGATGCCTACTGGTACAGTCTGTTTCTAGCAGAGACCAGGAAAGGAAAGCTGGTGGTTAGACAGCCTGTGCCAAAGGGCTCCAGATACATCGTGTCCAGTATACCGAGAGGGACAGGACTCACAGACACTAGTGACTCAGCACCATCCACTCTGCAGGTGAGAGTCCTCTGTACACATTTCTCTATACATATATCAATACTGAGTGACGTTTTGATTTACATCATAGTTTTAGAGGTAAAAATGTCCATCACTTTAGCGCATAAATATTGTAAATTAATCTGATTATTCTTGTCAGCGATACTCAATTTAAACTCACAATTATACTAAGAAACAGGCTTGTAAGGCACATCATGATACATGCAGTGAAAAGTATCGTAGAAAACCCAAAAGGTGGCGCTGTTTTATTAGTAAAATACCAGCCAATAAACGCCATGACAGCGAATCGTTGTCATCAGGGCAGAGAAGGAAATAACCGGACAGCTCCGTGGTGCTGAAACACCAGTCCGAAAACGGCTCCTGCGGTCTAGCACTGACATATTTTCCGAATTTTTATTGTGTGAATATGCTCGAGATCAAAGTCGTTAAAGAAAAATCGGACTTTACTGGAAACTTACACTACATGATTTGAGGTGCTGTGAAACCGGACAGAACAATGGGGCCGTTTGTGACAGTGCAGTGTTGCCAAAGGTACGTGCTGCTCGTTATTCTTCTTTCGTTTGTTCCTAATATATCGACTTCAGTGACTCATTATTCAATACCCGAGGAGATGAAAGAAGGATCAGTCGTCGCTAATCTCGCTACCGATCTCGGCCTGGATGTTAAAACATTGAATCAGAGGAAGATGCGTCTCGACATTATTGCAAATAAGAAATATCTGGAAGTGAACAAAGAGACTGGTGAACTGTATATTGTTGAGAAGATCGACAGGGAAAGTATTTGCCCTACAAAGTCATTAGCATCTTGCTATCTCAAATTGGAAATAATATTAGAAAACCCAGTACGCATCTTTAATATTGAAGTAGAAATATTAGATATGAACGACAACGCCCCACAGTTTCGACGAGACGTCATTCATTTAGATATATCTGAAGCAACACCAAAAGGAGAGAGATTCTCTCTCAGTAATGCAGTTGATCCTGATGTTGGAAGCAATTCAGTGAAAACCTACCATCTGAGTGAGAGTGAACAATTAAATATTGAAGTACAAACTGGAAGAGATGGGTCTAAATTTGCAGAATTAATCTTAACTAAGACTTTAGATCGAGAGCAGCAGGCTGTTCATAATTTAATACTCACAGCTGTAGATGGAGGAACACCTGCTCGATCTGGCACTGCAAGTGTTATTGTTCGTGTTTTAGACACAAATGATAACGCTCCTGCTTTTGACAAAGCGAGTTATAATATAAAAATAATGGAAAATTCTCCCATTGGCAGCCTCGTTGTTCATCTCAATGCAACAGATTTAGATGAAGGGTCAAAATCTGATGTAACATACTCATACAGTTTATATACGTCAGAGAAAACACAAGAAACATTTAATCTGAATCCTTCCACTGGTGAAATTACTGTTAAAGGAATGTTAAATTATGAAGACTTCAAGATTTATGACATGGAAGTTATAGCAACTGATAAAGGAGCCACTGCATTATCAGGACAATGTACTATAAAGATTGTGGTTGAAGACATGAATGACAACCACCCAGAAATATCTATTAAATCATTTCAGAGTCCAGTCAATGAAAACATAGAATTAGACACAGTGATAGCAGTAGTTAGTGTCAGTGATAAAGACTCAGGTGACAATGGAGTGGTTGATCTTCATATTCCAGATAATATGCCTTTCAAACTGAGGGAATCCTCTGATAACTATTATGAATTAGTAGTGTCAGAGCCATTAGACCGCGAGAAGGTCCCGGAATATGACGTCACTTTCACGGTGACAGACAGAGGTTCTCCTCCTTTATCTGACAATGAAACTATGACGTTAGAGCTGCTGGATGTTAATGACAATGTTCCACAGTTCCCTCAGTCATTTTATACTATCCGTGTGATGGAGAATAACGCACCTGGAGCCTTGCTCAGTTCACTCACTGCGTTTGACCCTGACCTCCATGAAAACCAGTATCTAGTTTATTTCATCCTAGAGAAGGAGATAGCCAACACCTCCATGTCCATGCTGTTCTCCATCAATCCAGAGAACGGGAATCTTTACGCACTGAAAACTTTTGACTATGAGATCGAGAAGGAGTTTCTTTTCCACATCGAGGCCAGAGACTCTGGCTCTCCTCCACTCAGCAGCAACGTCACGGTCCACATCATTATTGTGGACCAGAACGACAACGCTCCGGTTATTGTGTCTCCGTGGCGCGCGCACGGCTCGGTGGTGGAGGAAAAGATCCCCAGATCCACCGATAAAGGCTCTCTGGTTGCCAAGGTGATAGCCTTGGACACCGACTCGGTGCACAACTCTCGGATTACCTACCAGTTTCTACAGGTGACTGACGCCACCTTGTTCAGTCTGGACCAATACAACGGAGAGATCCGGACTATGAGGATGTTCAGTTACAGAGATCCGCGTCACCAGAGACTGGTTGTTGTTGCCAAGGACAACGGGGAGCCTGCTCTCTCTGCTACAGTCACCATCAAGCTGTCCACGATGGAGACTGCCGTTAAGGCCTACTCTGACATGACTGAGGTGCCTCTAGAATATGACATCTTCTCAGACCTCAACCTGTATTTGGTCATCGGTCTGGGCTCGGTGTCATTTCTCCTGCTCATCACCATATTGGTCACCATCGTGCTCAAGTGTCAGAAACCCAAGCCCAGCAAAGCGGCTCCTCCCTGCAGGAACAGTGTGATCAGTGAGAGGAACTCCACCATCGCAGATTCCACTCTGGTCTCCAACGATGCCTACTGGTACAGTCTGTTTCTAGCAGAGACCAGGAAAGGAAAGCTGGTGGTTAGACAGCCTGTGCCAAAGGGCTCCAGATACATCGTGTCCAGTATACCGAGAGGGACAGGACTCACAGACACTAGTGACTCAGCACCATCCACTCTGCAGGTGAGAGTCCTCTGTACACATTTCTCTATACATATATCAATACTGAGTGACGTTTTGATTTACATCATAGTTTTAGAGGTAAAAATGTCCATCACTTTAGCGCATAAATATTGTAAATTAATCTGATTATTCTTGTCAGCGATACTCAATTTAAACTCACAATTATACTAAGAAACAGGCTTGTAAGGCACATCATGATACATGCAGTGAAAAGTATCGTAGAAAACCCAAAAGGTGGCGCTGTTTTATTAGTAAAATACCAGCCAATAAACGCCATGACAGCGAATCGTTGTCATCAGGGCAGAGAAGGAAATAACCGGACAGCTCCGTGGTGCTGAAACACCAGTCCGAAAACGGCTCCTGCGGTCTAGCACTGACATATTTTCCGAATTTTTATTGTGTGAATATGCTCGAGATCAAAGTCGTTAAAGAAAAATCGGACTTTACTGGAAACTTACACTACATGATTTGAGGTGCTGTGAAACCGGACAGAACAATGGGGCCGTTTGTGACAGTGCAGTGTTGCCAAAGGTACGTGCTGCTCGTTATTCTTCTTTCGTTTGTTCCTAATATATCGACTTCAGTGACTCATTATTCAATACCCGAGGAGATGAAAGAAGGATCAGTCGTCGCTAATCTCGCTACCGATCTCGGCCTGGATGTTAAAACATTGAATCAGAGGAAGATGCGTCTCGACATTATTGCAAATAAGAAATATCTGGAAGTGAACAAAGAGACTGGTGAACTGTATATTGTTGAGAAGATCGACAGGGAAAGTATTTGCCCTACAAAGTCATTAGCATCTTGCTATCTCAAATTGGAAATAATATTAGAAAACCCAGTACGCATCTTTAATATTGAAGTAGAAATATTAGATATGAACGACAACGCCCCACAGTTTCGCCGAGACGTCATTCATTTAGATATATCTGAAGCAACACCAAAAGGAGAGAGATTCTCTCTCAGTAATGCAGTTGATCCTGATGTTGGAAGCAATTCAGTGAAAACCTACCATCTGAGTGAGAGTGAACAATTCACTATTGAAGTGCAAACTGGAAGAGATGGGTCTAAATTTGCAGAATTAATCTTAACTAAGACTTTAGATCGAGAGCAGCAGGCTGTTCATAATTTAATACTCACAGCTGTAGATGGAGGAACACCTGCTCGATCTGGCACTGCAAGTGTTATTGTTCGTGTTTTAGACACAAATGATAACGCTCCTGCTTTTGACAAAGCGAGTTATAATATAAAAATAATGGAAAATTCTCCCATTGGCAGCCTCGTTGTTCATCTCAATGCAACAGATTTAGATGAAGGGTCAAACTCTGATGTAACATACTCATACAGTTTATATACGTCAGAGAAAACACAAGAAACATTTAATCTGAATCCTTCCACTGGTGAAATTACTGTTAAAGGAATGTTAAATTATGAAGACTTCAAGATTTATGACATGGAAGTTATAGCAACTGATAAAGGAGCCACTGCATTATCAGGACAATGTACTATAAAGATTGTGGTTGAAGACATGAATGACAACCACCCAGAAATATCTATTAAATCATTTCAGAGTCCAGTCAATGAAAACATAGAATTAGACACAGTGATAGCAGTAGTTAGTGTCAGCGATAAAGACTCAGGTGACAATGGAGTGGTTGATCTTCATATTCCAGATAATATGCCTTTCAAACTGAGGGAATCCTCTGATAACTATTATGAATTAGTAGTGTCAGAGCCATTAGACCGCGAGAAGGTCCCAGAATATGACGTCACTTTCACGGTGACAGACAGAGGTTCTCCTCCTTTATCTGACAATGAAACTATGACGTTAGAGCTGCTGGATGTTAATGACAATGTTCCACAGTTCCCTCAGTCATTTTATACTATCCGTGTGATGGAGAATAACGCACCTGGAGCCTTGCTCAGTTCACTCACTGCGTTTGACCCTGACCTCCATGAAAACCAGTATCTAGTTTATTTCATCCTAGAGAAGGAGATAGCCAACACCTCCATGTCCATGCTGTTCTCCATCAATCCAGAGAACGGGAATCTTTACGCACTGAAAACTTTTGACTATGAGATCGAGAAGGAGTTTCTTTTCCACATCGAGGCCAGAGACTCTGGCTCTCCTCCACTCAGCAGCAACGTCACGGTCCACATCATTATTGTGGACCAGAACGACAACGCTCCGGTTATTGTGTCTCCGTGGCGCGCGCACGGCTCGGTGGTGGAGGAAAAGATCCCCAGATCCACCGATAAAGGCTCTCTGGTTGCCAAGGTGATAGCCTTGGACACCGACTCGGTGCACAACTCTCGGATTACCTACCAGTTTCTACAGGTGACTGACGCCACCTTGTTCAGTCTGGACCAATACAACGGAGAGATCCGGACTATGAGGATGTTCAGTTACAGAGATCCGCGTCACCAGAGACTGGTTGTTGTTGCCAAGGACAACGGGGAGCCTGCTCTCTCTGCTACAGTCACCATCAAGCTGTCCACGATGGAGACTGCCGTTAAGGCCTACTCTGACATGACTGAGGTGCCTCTAGAATATGACATCTTCTCAGACCTCAACCTGTATTTGGTCATCGGTCTGGGCTCGGTGTCATTTCTCCTGCTCATCACCATATTGGTCACCATCGTGCTCAAGTGTCAGAAACCCAAGCCCAGCAAAGCGGCTCCTCCCTGCAGGAACAGTGTGATCAGTGAGAGGAACTCCACCATCGCAGATTCCACTCTGGTCTCCAACGATGCCTACTGGTACAGTCTGTTTCTAGCAGAGACCAGGAAAGGAAAGCTGGTGGTTAGACAGCCTGTGCCAAAGGGCTCCAGATACATCGTGTCCAGTATACCGAGAGGGACAGGACTCACAGACACTAGTGACTCAGCACCGTCCACTCTGCAGGTGAGTGTTCAATGTGTGTTTCGTTTTGAAGTCATCATTAATCATTTCATTTCCCACCGTAAACATTTGGAAATTATGTTTATCAGTGTTAACTAATCCTTTCAGAAGTATCTGCACAAAATTAGTAATTTTAAATTCACAAGTTATATATAAAGGGCAATGTGATTTGGTTCAAAATAAATAGAGTGTTTCAAAATGCAAAAGGTGGCGCTGTTTTCTTAACAAATCACTCGACAACAATCGTCACGTCAGTGAAACCGCTGTCATTGGGGCGGATGGGAGAAATCGGACAGCTCCGTGGTGCTGAAACATTAAGCGATAAACGCGATCGTCCTTTCTCTGTGTATATACATTCTCGAAACTGAAATGATATGAATATGCTTGAGATCGGGGACGTGAATGAAAATGAAGATTTGAATATCGCTGGAAATTTACATTATATTGACTAAACTGCGGTGATCCAACACACAACAATGGGGTCCTTTGTAACAAAGGGGACTTGCAAAAGGTACGTGCTGCTCGTTATTCTTCTTTCTTGCTTTAATCACATATCGACTTCAGTGACTCATTATTCAATACCCGAGGAGATGAAAGAAGGATCAGTCGTCGCTAATCTCGCTACCGATCTCGGACTGGATATAAAAACACTGAATCAGAGGAAGATGCGTCTCGACATCATTGCAAATAAGAAATATCTGGATGTGAACAAAGAGACTGGTGAACTGTATATTGTTGAGAAGATCGACAGGGAATATCTCTGCCCTGCAAAGTCGTCTTGCTATCTCAGACTGGAAGTGATACTAGAAAACCCAGTACGAATCTTTAATATAGAAGTAGAAATTCTGGATATGAACGACAACGCCCCACAGTTTCGACGAGACGTCATTCATTTAGATATATCTGAAGCAACACCAAAAGGAGAGAGATTCTCTCTCAGTAATGCAGTTGATCCTGATGTTGGAAGCAATTCAGTGAAAACCTACCATCTGAGTGAGAGTGACCATTTTAATATTGAAGTGCAGACTGGAAGAGATGGGTCTAAATTTGCAGAATTAATCTTAACTAAGACTTTAGATCGAGAGCAGCAGGCTGTTCATAATTTAATACTCACAGCTGTAGATGGAGGAACACCTGCTCGATCTGGCACTGCAAGTGTTATTGTTCGTGTTTTAGACACAAATGATAACGCTCCTGCTTTTGACAAAGCGAGTTATAATATAAAGATAATGGAAAATTCTCCCATTGGCAGCCTCGTTGTTCATCTCAATGCAACAGATTTAGATGAAGGGTCAAATTCTGATGTAACATACTCATACAGTTTATATACGTCAGAGAAAACACAAGAAACATTTCATCTGAATCCTTCCACTGGTGAAATTACTGTTAAAGGAATGTTAAATTATGAAGACTTCAAGATTTATGATATGGAAGTTATAGCAACTGATAAAGGAGCCACTGCATTATCAGGACAATGTACTATAAAGATTGTTGTTGAAGACATGAATGACAACCACCCAGAAATATCTATTAAATCATTTCAGAGTCCAGTCAATGAAAACATAGAATTAGACACAGTGATAGCAGTAGTTAGTGTCAGTGATAAAGACTCAGGTGACAATGGAGTGGTTGATCTTCATATTCCAGATAATATGCCTTTCAAACTGAGGGAATCCTCTGATAACTATTATGAATTAGTAGTGTCAGAGCCATTAGACCGCGAGAAGGTCCCGGAATATGACGTCACTTTCACGGTGACAGACAGAGGTTCTCCTCCTTTATCTGACAATGAAACTATGACGTTAGAGCTGCTGGATGTTAATGACAATGTTCCACAGTTCCCTCAGTCATTTTATACTATCCGTGTGATGGAGAATAACGCACCTGGAGCCTTGCTCAGTTCACTCACTGCGTTTGACCCTGACCTCCATGAAAACCAGTATCTAGTTTATTTCATCCTAGAGAAGGAGATAGCCAACACCTCCATGTCCATGCTGTTCTCCATCAATCCAGAGAACGGGAATCTTTACGCACTGAAAACTTTTGACTATGAGATCGAGAAGGAGTTTCTTTTCCACATCGAGGCCAGAGACTCTGGCTCTCCTCCACTCAGCAGCAACGTCACGGTCCACATCATTATTGTGGACCAGAACGACAACGCTCCGGTTATTGTGTCTCCGTGGCGCGCGCACGGCTCGGTGGTGGAGGAAAAGATCCCCAGATCCACCGATAAAGGCTCTCTGGTTGCCAAGGTGATAGCCTTGGACACCGACTCGGTGCACAACTCTCGGATTACCTACCAGTTTCTACAGGTGACTGACGCCACCTTGTTCAGTCTGGACCAATACAACGGAGAGATCCGGACTATGAGGATGTTCAGTTACAGAGATCCGCGTCACCAGAGACTGGTTGTTGTTGCCAAGGACAACGGGGAGCCTGCTCTCTCTGCTACAGTCACCATCAAGCTGTCCACGATGGAGACTGCCGTTAAGGCCTACTCTGACATGACTGAGGTGCCTCTAGAATATGACATCTTCTCAGACCTCAACCTGTATTTGGTCATCGGTCTGGGCTCGGTGTCATTTCTCCTGCTCATCACCATATTGGTCACCATCGTGCTCAAGTGTCAGAAACCCAAGCCCAGCAAAGCGGCTCCTCCCTGCAGGAACAGTGTGATCAGTGAGAGGAACTCCACCATCGCAGATTCCACTCTGGTCTCCAACGATGCCTACTGGTACAGTCTGTTTCTAGCAGAGACCAGGAAAGGAAAGCTGGTGGTTAGACAGCCTGTGCCAAAGGGCTCCAGATACATCGTGTCCAGTATACCGAGAGGGACAGGACTCACAGACACTAGTGACTCAGCACCATCCACTCTGCAGGTGAGAGTCCTCTGTACACATTTCTCTATACATATATCAATACTGAGTGACGTTTTGATTTACATCATAGTTTTAGAGGTAAAAATGTCCATCACTTTAGCGCATAAATATTGTAAATTAATCTGATTATTCTTGTCAGCGATACTCAATTTAAACTCACAATTATACTAAGAAACAGGCTTGTAAGGCACATCATGATACATGCAGTGAAAAGTATCGTAGAAAACCCAAAAGGTGGCGCTGTTTTATTAGTAAAATACCAGCCAATAAACGCCATGACAGCGAATCGTTGTCATCAGGGCAGAGAAGGAAATAACCGGACAGCTCCGTGGTGCTGAAACACCAGTCCGAAAACGGCTCCTGCGGTCTAGCACTGACATATTTTCCGAATTTTTATTGTGTGAATATGCTCGAGATCAAAGTCGTTAAAGAAAAATCGGACTTTACTGGAAACTTACACTACATGATTTGAGGTGCTGTGAAACCGGACAGAACAATGGGGCCGTTTGTGACAGTGCAGTGTTGCCAAAGGTACGTGCTGCTCGTTATTCTTCTTTCGTTTGTTCCTAATATATCGACTTCAGTGACTCATTATTCAATACCCGAGGAGATGAAAGAAGGATCAGTCGTCGCTAATCTCGCTACCGATCTCGGCCTGGATGTTAAAACATTGAATCAGAGGAAGATGCGTCTCGACATTATTGCAAATAAGAAATATCTGGAAGTGAACAAAGAGACTGGTGAACTGTATATTGTTGAGAAGATCGACAGGGAAAGTATTTGCCCTACAAAGTCATTAGCATCTTGCTATCTCAAATTGGAAATAATATTAGAAAACCCAGTACGCATCTTTAATATTGAAGTAGAAATATTAGATATGAACGACAACGCCCCACAGTTTCGCCGAGACGTCATTCATTTAGATATATCTGAAGCAACACCAAAAGGAGAGAGATTCTCTCTCAGTAATGCAGTTGATCCTGATGTTGGAAGCAATTCAGTGAAAACCTACCATCTGAGTGAGAGTGAACAATTCACTATTGAAGTGCAAACTGGAAGAGATGGGTCTAAATTTGCAGAATTAATCTTAACTAAGACTTTAGATCGAGAGCAGCAGGCTGTTCATAATTTAATACTCACAGCTGTAGATGGAGGAACACCTGCTCGATCTGGCACTGCAAGTGTTATTGTTCGTGTTTTAGACACAAATGATAACGCTCCTGCTTTTGACAAAGCGAGTTATAATATAAAAATAATGGAAAATTCTCCCATTGGCAGCCTCGTTGTTCATCTCAATGCAACAGATTTAGATGAAGGGTCAAACTCTGATGTAACATACTCATACAGTTTATATACGTCAGAGAAAACACAAGAAACATTTAATCTGAATCCTTCCACTGGTGAAATTACTGTTAAAGGAATGTTAAATTATGAAGACTTCAAGATTTATGACATGGAAGTTATAGCAACTGATAAAGGAGCCACTGCATTATCAGGACAATGTACTATAAAGATTGTGGTTGAAGACATGAATGACAACCACCCAGAAATATCTATTAAATCATTTCAGAGTCCAGTCAATGAAAACATAGAATTAGACACAGTGATAGCAGTAGTTAGTGTCAGCGATAAAGACTCAGGTGACAATGGAGTGGTTGATCTTCATATTCCAGATAATATGCCTTTCAAACTGAGGGAATCCTCTGATAACTATTATGAATTAGTAGTGTCAGAGCCATTAGACCGCGAGAAGGTCCCAGAATATGACGTCACTTTCACGGTGACAGACAGAGGTTCTCCTCCTTTATCTGACAATGAAACTATGACGTTAGAGCTGCTGGATGTTAATGACAATGTTCCACAGTTCCCTCAGTCATTTTATACTATCCGTGTGATGGAGAATAACGCACCTGGAGCCTTGCTCAGTTCACTCACTGCGTTTGACCCTGACCTCCATGAAAACCAGTATCTAGTTTATTTCATCCTAGAGAAGGAGATAGCCAACACCTCCATGTCCATGCTGTTCTCCATCAATCCAGAGAACGGGAATCTTTACGCACTGAAAACTTTTGACTATGAGATCGAGAAGGAGTTTCTTTTCCACATCGAGGCCAGAGACTCTGGCTCTCCTCCACTCAGCAGCAACGTCACGGTCCACATCATTATTGTGGACCAGAACGACAACGCTCCGGTTATTGTGTCTCCGTGGCGCGCGCACGGCTCGGTGGTGGAGGAAAAGATCCCCAGATCCACCGATAAAGGCTCTCTGGTTGCCAAGGTGATAGCCTTGGACACCGACTCGGTGCACAACTCTCGGATTACCTACCAGTTTCTACAGGTGACTGACGCCACCTTGTTCAGTCTGGACCAATACAACGGAGAGATCCGGACTATGAGGATGTTCAGTTACAGAGATCCGCGTCACCAGAGACTGGTTGTTGTTGCCAAGGACAACGGGGAGCCTGCTCTCTCTGCTACAGTCACCATCAAGCTGTCCACGATGGAGACTGCCGTTAAGGCCTACTCTGACATGACTGAGGTGCCTCTAGAATATGACATCTTCTCAGACCTCAACCTGTATTTGGTCATCGGTCTGGGCTCGGTGTCATTTCTCCTGCTCATCACCATATTGGTCACCATCGTGCTCAAGTGTCAGAAACCCAAGCCCAGCAAAGCGGCTCCTCCCTGCAGGAACAGTGTGATCAGTGAGAGGAACTCCACCATCGCAGATTCCACTCTGGTCTCCAACGATGCCTACTGGTACAGTCTGTTTCTAGCAGAGACCAGGAAAGGAAAGCTGGTGGTTAGACAGCCTGTGCCAAAGGGCTCCAGATACATCGTGTCCAGTATACCGAGAGGGACAGGACTCACAGACACTAGTGACTCAGCACCATCCACTCTGCAGGTGAGAGTCCTCTGTACACATTTCTCTATACATATATCAATACTGAGTGACGTTTTGATTTACATCATAGTTTTAGAGGTAAAAATGTCCATCACTTTAGCGCATAAATATTGTAAATTAATCTGATTATTCTTGTCAGCGATACTCAATTTAAACTCACAATTATACTAAGAAACAGGCTTGTAAGGCACATCATGATACATGCAGTGAAAAGTATCGTAGAAAACCCAAAAGGTGGCGCTGTTTTATTAGTAAAATACCAGCCAATAAACGCCATGACAGCGAATCGTTGTCATCAGGGCAGAGAAGGAAATAACCGGACAGCTCCGTGGTGCTGAAACACCAGTCCGAAAACGGCTCCTGCGGTCTAGCACTGACATATTTTCCGAATTTTTATTGTGTGAATATGCTCGAGATCAAAGTCGTTAAAGAAAAATCGGACTTTACTGGAAACTTACACTACATGATTTGAGGTGCTGTGAAACCGGACAGAACAATGGGGCCGTTTGTGACAGTGCAGTGTTGCCAAAGGTACGTGCTGCTCGTTATTCTTCTTTCGTTTGTTCCTAATATATCGACTTCAGTGACTCATTATTCAATACCCGAGGAGATGAAAGAAGGATCAGTCGTCGCTAATCTCGCTACCGATCTCGGCCTGGATGTTAAAACATTGAATCAGAGGAAGATGCGTCTCGACATTATTGCAAATAAGAAATATCTGGACGTGAACAAAGAGACTGGTGAACTGTACGTTGTGGAGAAGATCGACAGGGAAAGTATTTGCCCTACAAAGTCATTAGCATCTTGCTATCTCAGACTGGAAGTAATACTTGAAAATCCACTACGAATCTTTAATATTGAAGTAGAAATATTAGATATGAACGACAACGCCCCACAATTTCGACGGGACGCCATACATTTAGATATATCTGAAGCAACACCAAAAGGAGAGAGATTCTCTCTCAGTAATGCAGTTGATCCTGATGTTGGAAGCAATTCAGTAAAAACCTACCATCTGAGTGAAAGTGACCATTTTAATATTGAAGTGCAGACTGGAAGAGAAGGGTCGAAATTTGCTGATTTGATATTGAAAAAGGCTTTAGATCGAGAGCAGCAGGCTGTTCATAATTTAATACTCACAGCTGTAGATGGAGGAACACCTGCTCGATCTGGCACTGCAAGTGTTATTGTGCATGTTTTAGACACAAATGATAACGCTCCTGCTTTTGACAAAGCGAGTTATAATATAAAGATAATGGAAAATTCTCCCATTGGCAGCCTCGTTGTTCATCTCAATGCAACAGATTTAGATGAAGGGTCAAATTCTGATGTAACATACTCATACAGTTTATATACATCAGAGAAAACACAAGAAACATTTCATCTGAATCCTTCCACTGGTGAAATTACTGTTAAAGGAATGTTAAATTATGAAGACTTCAAGATTTATGACATGGAAGTTATAGCAACTGATAAAGGAGCCACTGCATTATCAGGACAATGTACTATAAAGATTGTGGTTGAAGACATGAATGACAACCACCCAGAAATATCTATTAAATCATTTCAGAGTCCAGTCAATGAAAACATAGAATTAGACACAGTGATAGCAGTAGTTAGTGTCAGTGATAAAGACTCAGGTGACAATGGAGTGGTTGATCTTCATATTCCAGATAATATGCCTTTCAAACTGAGGGAATCCTCTGATAACTATTATGAATTAGTAGTGTCAGAGCCATTAGACCGCGAGAAGGTCCCGGAATATGACGTCACTTTCACGGTGACAGACAGAGGTTCTCCTCCTTTATCTGACAATGAAACTATGACGTTAGAGCTGCTGGATGTTAATGACAATGTTCCACAGTTCCCTCAGTCATTTTATACTATCCGTGTGATGGAGAATAACGCACCTGGAGCCTTGCTCAGTTCACTCACTGCGTTTGACCCTGACCTCCATGAAAACCAGTATCTAGTTTATTTCATCCTAGAGAAGGAGATAGCCAACACCTCCATGTCCATGCTGTTCTCCATCAATCCAGAGAACGGAAATCTTTACGCACTGAAAACTTTTGACTATGAGATCGAGAAGGAGTTTCTTTTCCACATCGAGGCCAGAGACTCTGGCTCTCCTCCACTCAGCAGTAACGTCACGGTCCACATCATTATTGTGGACCAGAACGACAACGCTCCGGTTATTGTGTCTCCGTGGCGCGCGCACGGCTCGGTGGTGGAGGAAAAGATCCCCAGATCCACCGATAAAGGCTCTCTGGTTGCCAAGGTGATAGCCTTGGACACCGACTCGGTGCACAACTCTCGGATTACCTACCAGTTTCTACAGGTGACTGACGCCACCTTGTTCAGTCTGGACCAATACAACGGAGAGATCCGGACTATGAGGATGTTCAGTTACAGAGATCCGCGTCACCAGAGACTGGTTGTTGTTGCCAAGGACAACGGGGAGCCTGCTCTCTCTGCTACAGTCACCATCAAGCTGTCCACGATGGAGACTGCCGTTAAGGCCTACTCTGACATGACTGAGGTGCCTCTAGAATATGACATCTTCTCAGACCTCAACCTGTATTTGGTCATCGGTCTGGGCTCGGTGTCATTTCTCCTGCTCATCACCATATTGGTCACCATCGTGCTCAAGTGTCAGAAACCCAAGCCCAGCAAAGCGGCTCCTCCCTGCAGGAACAGTGTGATCAGTGAGAGGAACTCCACCATCGCAGATTCCACTCTGGTCTCCAACGATGCCTACTGGTACAGTCTGTTTCTAGCAGAGACCAGGAAAGGAAAGCTGGTGGTTAGACAGCCTGTGCCAAAGGGCTCCAGATACATCGTGTCCAGTATACCGAGAGGGACAGGACTCACAGACACTAGTGACTCCGCACCATCCACTCTGCAGGTATGACCAAAGTTAAAATTTCTCTTGTATACTCTAGAGTTCGTTGCAACTTAGTTTTTCATTTGCATGTGGGAATGTAAGGTGACTAAAGAGATCTAGGAAATAACACATTTTTTTCAAACAATATGAGCAGCAGTAACTCATATGTAATCTTTGAAACATTTTCTTTTTCTAAAAGACCTCAATCTAAAGACATCGCACCTCAGTTTACAAAGAGTGGCGCTGTTGACTCGATAAAACACTAACCCACGGTCGCCATGACAGAGACTCTCTGTAAAAACGTCAGAGCTTCACAACGCGAGACAGCTCCGTGGTGCTGAAACTCACGGTGAAGGCAAAGGGGGGAGTTCGCTGCTTTACTTGCGACATATTCTCGGATTTATATTTTCATCAACAGAGTTGAATAAGGAACTCAATCGCAACATCGGTGGATATATGTTTTATAGTAACCGGCTTTCTGCGTGCGGTGAACAGTGGAACAATAATGCGGCCCGGTGTAACAATGCTTTCAGGGAAAAGGTACGTGGCGCTTGTGATTCTCTTCTCCTTTGTAAACCATGTAACTGCCTCAGTGACTCATTATTCCATACCCGAGGAGATGAAAGAAGGATCAGTCGTTGCTAACCTTGCAAGCGATCTCAGTCTGGATGTTAAAACACTGAATCAGAGGAAGATGCGTCTCGACCTCATCGCTAATAAGAAATATCTGGATGTGAACAAAGAGACTGGTGAACTGTACGTTGTGGAGAAGATTGACAGGGAATATCTTTGTATAAAAATGCTGACATCATGCTACTTGAAGATGGAAGTTATACTTGAAAATCCTTTGCGAATATTTAACATAGAAGTAGAAATTCTGGATATGAATGACAACGCCCCACAGTTTCGACGAGACGCCATTCATTTAGATATATCTGAAGCAACACCTGCTGGGGAGAGATTCTCACTGAGCAACGCTGTTGATCCTGATGTTGGGAGCAATTCAGTAAAAACGTACCACCTGAGTGAGAGTGAACATTTTACTATTGAAGTGCAAACTGGAAGAGATGGGTCTAAATTTGCCGAATTAATCTTAACTAAGACTTTAGACCGAGAGCAGCAGGCTGTTCATAATTTAATACTCACAGCTGTAGATGGAGGAACACCTGCTCGATCTGGCACTGCAAGTGTTATTGTTCATGTTTTGGACACAAATGATAACGCTCCTGCTTTTGACAAAGCGAGTTATAATATAAAAATAATGGAAAATTCTCCCATTGGCAGCCTCGTTGTTCATCTCAATGCAACAGATTTAGATGAAGGGTCAAATTCTGATGTAACATACTCATACAGTTTATATACATCAGAGAAAACACAAGAAACATTTCATCTGAATCCTTCCACTGGTGAAATTACTGTTAAAGGAATGTTAAATTATGAAGACTTCAAGATTTATGACATGGAAGTTATAGCAACTGATAAAGGAGCCACTGCATTATCAGGACAATGTACTATAAAGATTGTGGTTGAAGACATGAATGACAACCACCCAGAAATATCTATTAAATCATTTCAGAGTCCAGTCAATGAAAACATAGAATTAGACACAGTGATAGCAGTAGTTAGTGTCAGTGATAAAGACTCAGGTGACAATGGAGTGGTTGATCTTCATATTCCAGATAATATGCCTTTCAAACTGAGGGAATCCTCTGATAACTATTATGAATTAGTAGTGTCAGAGCCATTAGACCGCGAGAAGGTCCCGGAATATGACGTCACTTTCACGGTGACAGACAGAGGTTCTCCTCCTTTATCTGACAATGAAACTATGACGTTAGAGCTGCTGGATGTTAATGACAATGTTCCACAGTTCCCTCAGTCATTTTATACTATCCGTGTGATGGAGAATAACGCACCTGGAGCCTTGCTCAGTTCACTCACTGCGTTTGACCCTGACCTCCATGAAAACCAGTATCTAGTTTATTTCATCCTAGAGAAGGAGATAGCCAACACCTCCATGTCCATGCTGTTCTCCATCAATCCAGAGAACGGGAATCTTTACGCACTGAAAACTTTTGACTATGAGATCGAGAAGGAGTTTCTTTTCCACATCGAGGCCAGAGACTCTGGCTCTCCTCCACTCAGCAGCAACGTCACGGTCCACATCATTATTGTGGACCAGAACGACAACGCTCCGGTTATTGTGTCTCCGTGGCGCGCGCACGGCTCGGTGGTGGAGGAAAAGATCCCCAGATCCACCGATAAAGGCTCTCTGGTTGCCAAGGTGATAGCCTTGGACACCGACTCGGTGCACAACTCTCGGATTACCTACCAGTTTCTACAGGTGACTGACGCCACCTTGTTCAGTCTGGACCAATACAACGGAGAGATCCGGACTATGAGGATGTTCAGTTACAGAGATCCGCGTCACCAGAGACTGGTTGTTGTTGCCAAGGACAACGGGGAGCCTGCTCTCTCTGCTACAGTCACCATCAAGCTGTCCACGATGGAGACTGCCGTTAAGGCCTACTCTGACATGACTGAGGTGCCTCTAGAATATGACATCTTCTCAGACCTCAACCTGTATTTGGTCATCGGTCTGGGCTCGGTGTCATTTCTCCTGCTCATCACCATATTGGTCACCATCGTGCTCAAGTGTCAGAAACCCAAGCCCAGCAAAGCGGCTCCTCCCTGCAGGAACAGTGTGATCAGTGAGAGGAACTCCACCATCGCAGATTCCACTCTGGTCTCCAACGATGCCTACTGGTACAGTCTGTTTCTAGCAGAGACCAGGAAAGGAAAGCTGGTGGTTAGACAGCCTGTGCCAAAGGGCTCCAGATACATCGTGTCCAGTATACCGAGAGGGACAGGACTCACAGACACTAGTGACTCAGCACCATCCACTCTGCAGGTATGAGAAAAAGTAAATTAAACGTGTGTTATTAAATAGATGTGCTTAGTTTACCTTCGTAATTGAGTTTGATGGGATCTGTGTAACTTTACTCTGCTGGTATCAACAGCTGCGACTTCAGTTCTCATCAATTTGGATCCCGAGGATAATTGCTGGACAACAGCTCCTGCGCATTTAGACATGCATTTTTTAAGCGCCTCAATCTTAACACCAATTTTGAATTCATGATTTTGTAAAACAGCTACCTCCAAATACCAAAAATAAAAGTCAGAGATGTATGACTAATCCGTTTTAAAAGTAGGCCTATCTTATTCAATTCTGATCATCAGTGCGTTGATTCCGGGTTTAAGATTCTTGTTACAATATAATTTCTCGTCAGCTAACCTTTGTACAAACTTACTGAGTGCAAAAAAATATATTTATAAGATAATTTTAGTTGTTATTTTCACGGAAAATGATAAATACACCTCTAAGGATGTGCATTTCAGTTTCAACGTTTCGATAACAGTTGGTGCCATCAACATAGAACACATAGCGTCGCTATTGACCACCAAAAAACACGTGTTTGTGACGCAACAATCACCAGACAGTTGCTGAAAGAACAAAACGGCCATTATTGGACGGTTCCTTTTTCTAGAATAGCAGGGTTGTAAAATTATCGCGTGTCAAGGCATTTTCAGGCAGTAACGCTGTTGTGAAACCGATATATAAACTGTGATAAACAGACGACCATTTTATTTCCGACCAAAACGGAGCAATGATCATGGATTTAAAATTTCGCGACTGGCTTTGGAGGAGGTATGTCTCGCCACTGATTTTCTTATGTGCAGTTTTCTCTGCTACATCTGCCGTTATGCACTATTCAATTCCCGAAGAAATGGAGCAGGGATCTGTTGTTGCTAATCTAGCACTGGATTTGGGTCTGGGCGATGCAAAAGCCCTTGGTCATCGTAAAATGAGACTGGATGTCATCGCTAATAAGAGATATCTTGAAATCAACAAAGAAACGGGGAAGCTATTCGTTGCTGAAAAGATTGACCGGGAACAGCTATGCAACAGCAAGAATCCATCGTGTTTTCTGAAAATGGATGTAACAATAGAAAATCCGATTCGACTGTTTAACATTGAGGTTGAGATAACGGACATCAACGACAATGCCCCTCATTTTCGCAGAGACACAATGCATTTGGACATATCGGAGTCAACCTCGTCGGGGGAGCGCTTTTCACTAACCAATGCTATAGATCCCGATTTTGGATCGAACTCAGTAAAAACATATCATCTTAGTGAAAGTGAATATTTTGACATTGAGATTCAGACCGGTAGAGATGGCTCAAAGTTTGCTGATCTGATTCTGAAAAAAGCTTTAGACAGAGAGCAGCAGGCTGTTCATAATCTAATACTGACTGCTGTGGATGGGGGCGCGCCCACGCGCACAGGTACAGCCAGCATCATTGTTCGAGTGCTTGATGTCAACGACAACGCCCCTAAATTTAAAAAAGACAAATACAAAGTAGATGTGATGGAAAACTCCCCGATTGGCAGTCTAATAATAAAACTGAACGCCACTGATTTAGATGAAGGGTCAAATTCTGAAATAGTTTATTCATATAGTTTATATACATCAGAGAGAACACAACAGATGTTTAACTTGAATCCAGAAAATGGTGAAATCAGAGTGAAAGAGATGATAAATTATGAAGATGTTAAACTTTATGAAATGGAGGTTATAGCCAGAGATAAGGGGCCTAACTCCTTATCTGGACAGTGTAAACTGACAATACAGGTGACAGATATGAATGATAATCATCCAGAAATATCCATCAAATCATTTCAGAGTCCTATAAAAGAAAACGAACCAATAGACACAGTGATAGCAGTAGTTAGTGTCAGTGATAAAGACTCAGGTGACAATGGAGTGGTTGATCTTCATATTCCAGATAATATGCCTTTCAAACTGAGGGAATCCTCTGATAACTATTATGAATTAGTAGTGTCAGAGCCATTAGACCGCGAGAAGGTCCCAGAATATGACGTAACTTTCACAGTGACAGACAGAGGTTCTCCTCCTTTATCTGACAATGAAACTATGACGTTAGAGCTGCTGGATGTTAATGACAATGTTCCACAGTTCCCTCAGTCATTTTATACTATCCGTGTGATGGAGAATAACGCACCTGGAGCCTTGCTCAGTTCACTCACTGCGTTTGACCCTGACCTCCATGAAAACCAGTATCTAGTTTATTTCATCCTAGAGAAGGAGATAGCCAACACCTCCATGTCCATGCTGTTCTCCATCAATCCAGAGAACGGAAATCTTTACGCACTGAAAACTTTTGACTATGAGATCGAGAAGGAGTTTCTTTTCCACATCGAGGCCAGAGACTCTGGCTCTCCTCCACTCAGCAGTAACGTCACGGTCCACATCATTATTGTGGACCAGAACGACAACGCTCCGGTTATTGTGTCTCCGTGGCGCGCGCACGGCTCGGTGGTGGAGGAAAAGATCCCCAGATCCACCGATAAAGGCTCTCTGGTTGCCAAGGTGATAGCCTTGGACACCGACTCGGTGCACAACTCTCGGATTACCTACCAGTTTCTACAGGTGACTGACGCCACCTTGTTCAGTCTGGACCAATACAACGGAGAGATCCGGACTATGAGGATGTTCAGTTACAGAGATCCGCGTCACCAGAGACTGGTTGTTGTTGCCAAGGACAACGGGGAGCCTGCTCTCTCTGCTACAGTCACCATCAAGCTGTCCACGATGGAGACTGCCGTTAAGGCCTACTCTGACATGACTGAGGTGCCTCTAGAATATGACATCTTCTCAGACCTCAACCTGTATTTGGTCATCGGTCTGGGCTCGGTGTCATTTCTCCTGCTCATCACCATATTGGTCACCATCGTGCTCAAGTGTCAGAAACCCAAGCCCAGCAAAGCGGCTCCTCCCTGCAGGAACAGTGTGATCAGTGAGAGGAACTCCACCATCGCAGATTCCACTCTGGTCTCCAACGATGCCTACTGGTACAGTCTGTTTCTAGCAGAGACCAGGAAAGGAAAGCTGGTGGTTAGACAGCCTGTGCCAAAGGGCTCCAGATACATCGTGTCCAGTATACCGAGAGGGACAGGACTCACAGACACTAGTGACTCAGCACCATCCACTCTGCAGGTGAGAGTCCTCTGTACACATTTCTCTATACATATATCAATACTGAGTGACGTTTTGATTTACATCATAGTTTTAGAGGTAAAAATGTCCATCACTTTAGCGCATAAATATTGTAAATTAATCTGATTATTCTTGTCAGCGATACTCAATTTAAACTCACAATTATACTAAGAAACAGGCTTGTAAGGCACATCATGATACATGCAGTGAAAAGTATCGTAGAAAACCCAAAAGGTGGCGCTGTTTTATTAGTAAAATACCAGCCAATAAACGCCATGACAGCGAATCGTTGTCATCAGGGCAGAGAAGGAAATAACCGGACAGCTCCGTGGTGCTGAAACACCAGTCCGAAAACGGCTCCTGCGGTCTAGCACTGACATATTTTCCGAATTTTTATTGTGTGAATATGCTCGAGATCAAAGTCGTTAAAGAAAAATCGGACTTTACTGGAAACTTACACTACATGATTTGAGGTGCTGTGAAACCGGACAGAACAATGGGGCCGTTTGTGACAGTGCAGTGTTGCCAAAGGTACGTGCTGCTCGTTATTCTTCTTTCGTTTGTTCCTAATATATCGACTTCAGTGACTCATTATTCAATACCCGAGGAGACGACAGAAGGATCAGTCGTCGCTAATCTCGCTACCGATCTCGGCCTGGATGTTAAAACACTGAATCAGAGGAAGATGCGTCTCGACATTATTGCAAATAAGAAATATCTGGACGTGAACAAAGAGACTGGTGAACTGTACGTTGTGGAGAAGATCGACAGGGAAACTGTTTGCAATACCAAGTCATCAGCGTCTTGCTATCTCAGACTGGAGGTAATATTAGAAAACCCAGTAAGAATCTTTAATATAGAAGTAGAAATACTGGATATGAACGACAACGCCCCACAGTTTCGACGAGACGTCATTCATTTAGATATATCTGAAGCAACACCAAAAGGAGAGAGATTCTCTCTCAGTAATGCAGTTGATCCTGATGTTGGAAGCAATTCAGTGAAAACCTACCATCTGAGTGAGAGTGACCATTTTAATATTGAAGTGCAAACTGGAAGAGATGGGTCTAAATTTGCAGAATTAATCTTAACTAAGACTTTAGATCGAGAGCAGCAGGCTGTTCATAATTTAATACTCACAGCTGTAGATGGAGGAACACCTGCTCGATCTGGCACTGCAAGTGTTATTGTTCGTGTTTTAGACACAAATGATAACGCTCCTGCTTTTGACAAAGCGAGTTATAATATAAAGATAATGGAAAATTCTCCCATTGGCAGCCTCGTTGTTCATCTCAATGCAACAGATTTAGATGAAGGGTCAAATTCTGATGTAACATACTCATACAGTTTATATACGTCAGAGAAAACACAAGAAACATTTCATCTGAATCCTTCCACTGGTGAAATTACTGTTAAAGGAATGTTAAATTATGAAGACTTCAAGATTTATGACATGGAAGTTATAGCAACTGATAAAGGAGCCACTGCATTATCAGGACAATGTACTATAAAGATTGTGGTTGAAGACATGAATGACAACCACCCAGAAATATCTATTAAATCATTTCAGAGTCCAGTCAATGAAAACATAGAATTAGACACAGTGATAGCAGTAGTTAGTGTCAGTGATAAAGACTCAGGTGACAATGGAGTGGTTGATCTTCATATTCCAGATAATATGCCTTTCAAACTGAGGGAATCCTCTGATAACTATTATGAATTAGTAGTGTCAGAGCCATTAGACCGCGAGAAGGTCCCGGAATATGACGTCACTTTCACGGTGACAGACAGAGGTTCTCCTCCTTTATCTGACAATGAAACTATGACGTTAGAGCTGCTGGATGTTAATGACAATGTTCCACAGTTCCCTCAGTCATTTTATACTATCCGTGTGATGGAGAATAACGCACCTGGAGCCTTGCTCAGTTCACTCACTGCGTTTGACCCTGACCTCCATGAAAACCAGTATCTAGTTTATTTCATCCTAGAGAAGGAGATAGCCAACACCTCCATGTCCATGCTGTTCTCCATCAATCCAGAGAACGGAAATCTTTACGCACTGAAAACTTTTGACTATGAGATCGAGAAGGAGTTTCTTTTCCACATCGAGGCCAGAGACTCTGGCTCTCCTCCACTCAGCAGTAACGTCACGGTCCACATCATTATTGTGGACCAGAACGACAACGCTCCGGTTATTGTGTCTCCGTGGCGCGCGCACGGCTCGGTGGTGGAGGAAAAGATCCCCAGATCCACCGATAAAGGCTCTCTGGTTGCCAAGGTGATAGCCTTGGACACCGACTCGGTGCACAACTCTCGGATTACCTACCAGTTTCTACAGGTGACTGACGCCACCTTGTTCAGTCTGGACCAATACAACGGAGAGATCCGGACTATGAGGATGTTCAGTTACAGAGATCCGCGTCACCAGAGACTGGTTGTTGTTGCCAAGGACAACGGGGAGCCTGCTCTCTCTGCTACAGTCACCATCAAGCTGTCCACGATGGAGACTGCCGTTAAGGCCTACTCTGACATGACTGAGGTGCCTCTAGAATATGACATCTTCTCAGACCTCAACCTGTATTTGGTCATCGGTCTGGGCTCGGTGTCATTTCTCCTGCTCATCACCATATTGGTCACCATCGTGCTCAAGTGTCAGAAACCCAAGCCCAGCAAAGCGGCTCCTCCCTGCAGGAACAGTGTGATCAGTGAGAGGAACTCCACCATCGCAGATTCCACTCTGGTCTCCAACGATGCCTACTGGTACAGTCTGTTTCTAGCAGAGACCAGGAAAGGAAAGCTGGTGGTTAGACAGCCTGTGCCAAAGGGCTCCAGATACATCGTGTCCAGTATACCGAGAGGGACAGGACTCACAGACACTAGTGACTCAGCACCATCCACTCTGCAGGTATGGGAAAACCTTAATTAAACATGTGACACATGCAGATACTTTACGAGCAGGTCCATCAAATACCGCCATAAATAAAAGTGTTATAGGTTCAGTTTTAATGCAGTTTTTTTTTTGTCCTTGCAATGTTTAATTTTGCAAATTTGTATTAATTTCCGCACATATCTGCGTGTAATGCCTACATATACAAACTTTAGAAATACAAAATTTCCAGATAATATGCCTCCTTCTGTTTCAAAAATTAATGCTGAAACATATCTGCCGTCTTCATAGTGGTGGTAATCAAGGTCAACATAAAGATTTAACTTAAATATTTACATTTTTCTTTCCTTTATGTAATACTGGATAAATCATTAGACACTTGAAACCTTTGCCCCTTCAAACAATTCGTTTTTCTCGCACACGGTATTTTTGCAAGGCTCATTTTCCATTCTGCACTGGCCATGAGACAACTATGTGTGTGAACATGTGATAACATAACTTAAACATCCAACAATATTGACTGACGACATATAACAAATCCATTAAAATTAGACTAAATACACGTTGAAACTAACATGTTTTGCCACATTGGAACGGTTTTACGCACACAGATAGGTGCGTAAAAGGTCAACACAAAAGCAGGGACTGTGGCACCATTTATTTGCACCGACAGATTATCGTGTAGTATATGTGCAAATAACATACATTTAAAAAAAAAAAAACAGTATATTTGAATACTCTGAATGACGATACAATAGAAAAAATGTGGATATTGCCCCAACACCCATCAAAACTGAAGTTTAGAAACCAGGAAAAAACATTTGCCAGATATTTAATAAGTCTTTTTCTTTCGAATAAAATGAAAAGTTTATAGCAACTTGAGTTTGTAATAATGTAACTTTGACATCACCGATATTTTTACGAAGTGCGAAAGCTCGTAAGTGACTATTCAGGTCACTGCTCTCCACAAAAAACATACTCACTGATGATGTCATCGCTCTCACGCTATTTCATTGGAGGTTGGGCAGGCAGACATGTTACACGCAAATCTCTGCATAAAGAAACGTTTTTCTTGAAGACCCTCGCGGACTTTCATCATTGAAAAAATACAGTTTCTCTTTTCTTCTTTTCATCACATTTCGAGGTTTTAAATACGGATTATCTTCAATGGCTCTGCAAAGTCATCAGTGTTCCCGGAGAGGGTACGTTTCCGTATTTCTCTTTATTGCTGCTATGATGACAACGGTATCTACCGTCACCCATTATTCTGTTCCCGAAGAAATGGAGGAAGGCTCTGTCGTTGCTAATTTAGCAACTGATTTGGGATTAGACGTGAAGACGCTGAATAAAAGAAAAATGCGCATCGACGTTGTGGGCAACAAAAAATATCTTGACATAAACAAAGACACAGGAGAGCTGTTTATTCTGGAAAGGATAGACAGAGAGTTTTTATGCCCATTGAAGACAACTACGTCGTGCTTTTTAAGATTAGAAGCTACAATTGAAAAACCAGTACGAATGTTTAATATTGAGGTGGAAATCACGGATATTAACGACAACGCGCCTCATTTTCGAAGAGGAACGATGCATCTGGACATCTCTGAATCGAGCCCCGTTGGAGAGAGATTCTCATTAAATAATGCTGGCGACCCAGATGTTGGAACAAACTCTGTTAAAAATTATCATCTGAGCTCAAGTGAACATTTCTCTATTGAAATTCAGACCGGTAGAGATGGTACAAAGTTTGCTGATCTGATTCTGAAAAAAGCTTTAGACAGAGAGCAGCAGGCTGTTCATAATCTAATACTGACTGCTGTGGATGGGGGCGCGCCCACGCGCACAGGTACAGCCAGCATCATTGTTCGTGTGCTTGATGTCAACGACAACGCCCCTTCATTTAATAAAGACAAATACGCTGTAGATGTGATGGAAAACTCCCCGATTGGCAGTCTAATAATAAAACTGAACGCCACTGATTTAGATGAAGGGTCAAATTCTGAAATAGTTTATTCATATAGTTTATATACATCAGAGAGAACACAACAGATGTTTAACTTGAATCCAGAAAATGGTGAAATCAGAGTGAAAGAGATGATAAATTATGAAGATGTTAAACTTTATGAAATGGAGGTTATAGCCAGCGATAAGGGGCCTAACTCCTTATCTGGACAGTGTAAACTGACAATACAGGTGACAGATATGAATGATAATCATCCAGAAATATCCATCAAATCATTTCAGAGTCCTATAAAAGAAAACGAACCGATAGACACAGTGATAGCAGTAGTTAGTGTCAGTGATAAAGACTCAGGTGACAATGGAGTGGTTGATCTTCATATTCCAGATAATATGCCTTTCAAACTGAGGGAATCCTCTGATAACTATTATGAATTAGTAGTGTCAGAGCCATTAGACCGCGAGAAGGTCCCGGAATATGACGTCACTTTCACGGTGACAGACAGAGGTTCTCCTCCTTTATCTGACAATGAAACTATGACGTTAGAGCTGCTGGATGTTAATGACAATGTTCCACAGTTCCCTCAGTCATTTTATACTATCCGTGTGATGGAGAATAACGCACCTGGAGCCTTGCTCAGTTCACTCACTGCGTTTGACCCTGACCTCCATGAAAACCAGTATCTAGTTTATTTCATCCTAGAGAAGGAGATAGCCAACACCTCCATGTCCATGCTGTTCTCCATCAATCCAGAGAACGGGAATCTTTACGCACTGAAAACTTTTGACTATGAGATCGAGAAGGAGTTTCTTTTCCACATCGAGGCCAGAGACTCTGGCTCTCCTCCACTCAGCAGCAACGTCACGGTCCACATCATTATTGTGGACCAGAACGACAACGCTCCGGTTATTGTGTCTCCGTGGCGCGCGCACGGCTCGGTGGTGGAGGAAAAGATCCCCAGATCCACCGATAAAGGCTCTCTGGTTGCCAAGGTGATAGCCTTGGACACCGACTCGGTGCACAACTCTCGGATTACCTACCAGTTTCTACAGGTGACTGACGCCACCTTGTTCAGTCTGGACCAATACAACGGAGAGATCCGGACTATGAGGATGTTCAGTTACAGAGATCCGCGTCACCAGAGACTGGTTGTTGTTGCCAAGGACAACGGGGAGCCTGCTCTCTCTGCTACAGTCACCATCAAGCTGTCCACGATGGAGACTGCCGTTAAGGCCTACTCTGACATGACTGAGGTGCCTCTAGAATATGACATCTTCTCAGACCTCAACCTGTATTTGGTCATCGGTCTGGGCTCGGTGTCATTTCTCCTGCTCATCACCATATTGGTCACCATCGTGCTCAAGTGTCAGAAACCCAAGCCCAGCAAAGCGGCTCCTCCCTGCAGGAACAGTGTGATCAGTGAGAGGAACTCCACCATCGCAGATTCCACTCTGGTCTCCAACGATGCCTACTGGTACAGTCTGTTTCTAGCAGAGACCAGGAAAGGAAAGCTGGTGGTTAGACAGCCTGTGCCAAAGGGCTCCAGATACATCGTGTCCAGTATACCGAGAGGGACAGGACTCACAGACACTAGTGACTCAGCACCATCCACTCTGCAGGTGAGAGTCCTCTGTACACATTTCTCTATACATATATCAATACTGAGTGACGTTTTGATTTACATCATAGTTTTAGAGGTAAAAATGTCCATCACTTTAGCGCATAAATATTGTAAATTAATCTGATTATTCTTGTCAGCGATACTCAATTTAAACTCACAATTATACTAAGAAACAGGCTTGTAAGGCACATCATGATACATGCAGTGAAAAGTATCGTAGAAAACCCAAAAGGTGGCGCTGTTTTATTAGTAAAATACCAGCCAATAAACGCCATGACAGCGAATCGTTGTCATCAGGGCAGAGAAGGAAATAACCGGACAGCTCCGTGGTGCTGAAACACCAGTCCGAAAACGGCTCCTGCGGTCTAGCACTGACATATTTTCCGAATTTTTATTGTGTGAATATGCTCGAGATCAAAGTCGTTAAAGAAAAATCGGACTTTACTGGAAACTTACACTACATGATTTGAGGTGCTGTGAAACCGGACAGAACAATGGGGCCGTTTGTGACAGTGCAGTGTTGCCAAAGGTACGTGCTGCTCGTTATTCTTCTTTCGTTTGTTCCTAATATATCGACTTCAGTGACTCATTATTCAATACCCGAGGAGATGAAAGAAGGATCAGTCGTCGCTAATCTCGCTACCGATCTCGGCCTGGATGTTAAAACATTGAATCAGAGGAAGATGCGTCTCGACATTATTGCAAATAAGAAATATCTGGAAGTGAACAAAGAGACTGGTGAACTGTATATTGTTGAGAAGATCGACAGGGAAAGTATTTGCCCTACAAAGTCATTAGCATCTTGCTATCTCAAATTGGAAATAATATTAGAAAACCCAGTACGCATCTTTAATATTGAAGTAGAAATATTAGATATGAACGACAACGCCCCACAGTTTCGCCGAGACGTCATTCATTTAGATATATCTGAAGCAACACCAAAAGGAGAGAGATTCTCTCTCAGTAATGCAGTTGATCCTGATGTTGGAAGCAATTCAGTGAAAACCTACCATCTGAGTGAGAGTGAACAATTCACTATTGAAGTGCAAACTGGAAGAGATGGGTCTAAATTTGCAGAATTAATCTTAACTAAGACTTTAGATCGAGAGCAGCAGGCTGTTCATAATTTAATACTCACAGCTGTAGATGGAGGAACACCTGCTCGATCTGGCACTGCAAGTGTTATTGTTCGTGTTTTAGACACAAATGATAACGCTCCTGCTTTTGACAAAGCGAGTTATAATATAAAAATAATGGAAAATTCTCCCATTGGCAGCCTCGTTGTTCATCTCAATGCAACAGATTTAGATGAAGGGTCAAACTCTGATGTAACATACTCATACAGTTTATATACGTCAGAGAAAACACAAGAAACATTTAATCTGAATCCTTCCACTGGTGAAATTACTGTTAAAGGAATGTTAAATTATGAAGACTTCAAGATTTATGACATGGAAGTTATAGCAACTGATAAAGGAGCCACTGCATTATCAGGACAATGTACTATAAAGATTGTGGTTGAAGACATGAATGACAACCACCCAGAAATATCTATTAAATCATTTCAGAGTCCAGTCAATGAAAACATAGAATTAGACACAGTGATAGCAGTAGTTAGTGTCAGCGATAAAGACTCAGGTGACAATGGAGTGGTTGATCTTCATATTCCAGATAATATGCCTTTCAAACTGAGGGAATCCTCTGATAACTATTATGAATTAGTAGTGTCAGAGCCATTAGACCGCGAGAAGGTCCCAGAATATGACGTCACTTTCACGGTGACAGACAGAGGTTCTCCTCCTTTATCTGACAATGAAACTATGACGTTAGAGCTGCTGGATGTTAATGACAATGTTCCACAGTTCCCTCAGTCATTTTATACTATCCGTGTGATGGAGAATAACGCACCTGGAGCCTTGCTCAGTTCACTCACTGCGTTTGACCCTGACCTCCATGAAAACCAGTATCTAGTTTATTTCATCCTAGAGAAGGAGATAGCCAACACCTCCATGTCCATGCTGTTCTCCATCAATCCAGAGAACGGGAATCTTTACGCACTGAAAACTTTTGACTATGAGATCGAGAAGGAGTTTCTTTTCCACATCGAGGCCAGAGACTCTGGCTCTCCTCCACTCAGCAGCAACGTCACGGTCCACATCATTATTGTGGACCAGAACGACAACGCTCCGGTTATTGTGTCTCCGTGGCGCGCGCACGGCTCGGTGGTGGAGGAAAAGATCCCCAGATCCACCGATAAAGGCTCTCTGGTTGCCAAGGTGATAGCCTTGGACACCGACTCGGTGCACAACTCTCGGATTACCTACCAGTTTCTACAGGTGACTGACGCCACCTTGTTCAGTCTGGACCAATACAACGGAGAGATCCGGACTATGAGGATGTTCAGTTACAGAGATCCGCGTCACCAGAGACTGGTTGTTGTTGCCAAGGACAACGGGGAGCCTGCTCTCTCTGCTACAGTCACCATCAAGCTGTCCACGATGGAGACTGCCGTTAAGGCCTACTCTGACATGACTGAGGTGCCTCTAGAATATGACATCTTCTCAGACCTCAACCTGTATTTGGTCATCGGTCTGGGCTCGGTGTCATTTCTCCTGCTCATCACCATATTGGTCACCATCGTGCTCAAGTGTCAGAAACCCAAGCCCAGCAAAGCGGCTCCTCCCTGCAGGAACAGTGTGATCAGTGAGAGGAACTCCACCATCGCAGATTCCACTCTGGTCTCCAACGATGCCTACTGGTACAGTCTGTTTCTAGCAGAGACCAGGAAAGGAAAGCTGGTGGTTAGACAGCCTGTGCCAAAGGGCTCCAGATACATCGTGTCCAGTATACCGAGAGGGACAGGACTCACAGACACTAGTGACTCAGCACCATCCACTCTGCAGGTAAATCAATTAATATTCAATTACATACATCGCTTCAGCTTTCAGTCAACTCTTTGAAATTCCACCAGGTTTATTTACCCCTGCTTTTCGGGTCCAGAAAGTGAAACGTTAAAAAATAAGTCACAGAAATTGTGTTTTTGATATTCAGGTATCACTGTTAATATAGCTATGTTTTTAGATTGCAGTCAAAAAGAAAATATTTGCACAGACGTTGATGCAATGTACAACAGGTTAAACATCGTCATCGTTTATTCATAATAATTCCGATATTATTATAACATCCATGCAAACCTGTGATGATGCACATGCGTGTTTTTTGCACTTTCGCGTCGCTGTTTCCTCGTTTAACATTCCAATCGATGACTTCACGAGCGCCATGACAGTGTCTCATAAGGAGGCAGATCGGGCAGCGACAAAGCAGGGTGGATAGCTCCTGGTGCTGAACATCTTTTAATGGATTTATTCCGTGCGCATTTATCTCAATCTTACCTTTTTTAAATGATGTGAGTCTGGAAGTGTTTTACCGCTGACTTTCTTCTTGCTGCATCTACACTGACTCACTGAAAAGGGAACATTTAATTAGCGACAGAACAATGAAAATGCCTGACACTGAGAAGTCTTGCAGGAGGTATGTGTCTGCTCTTTTTTTTTTTAAGTGCGTTTGTGCACCAGGTTATTGGCGTCACTCATTATTCTGTTCCCGAAGAACTGGAGGAAGGCTCAGTTGTCGCCAATTTAGCTTCTGACTTGGGTTTAGACGTGAAGACTCTGAGTAAACGGAAGATGCGGTTAGACATTATATCCAGCAAAAGATATCTGGATGTGAACAAAGAAACAGGAGAGCTTTACATCGTTGAGAGGATTGACAGAGAGTATCTCTGCGCAATAAAGACCACAGCATGTTACCTAAAAATGGAGACTATAGTGGAGAACCCACAGAGAATATTCTACATAGAAATTGAAATAACGGATATCAATGACAACGCTCCTCATTTTCGACGAGACACCATTAAGTTGGACATTATGGAATCAACCCCAGCTGGTGAGAGGTTTTCTGTTAATAACGCTGTTGACCCTGACATTGGATCTAATTCAGTTAAAACATATCTTCTGGGCGAAAGTGAGCATTTTGACATAGAAATTCAAACCGGAAGAGACGGATCCAAATTTGCTGATTTAATATTAAAGACGGGGTTAGACCGAGAAAAGCAGGCAGTCCACAATTTAATCCTGACTGCTGTAGATGGTGGAGTCCCCAGTCGAAGTGGCACAGCCAGTATCGTTGTTCGTGTGGTGGATACTAACGACAACGCCCCAACTTTCGAAAAATATAATTATGACGTTAATATTATGGAAAACTCTCCAGTTGGAACACTCGTCATAAAGCTGAATGCTACAGATTTGGACGAGGGGACAAATGCACAGATCGAATATACATATAGTCTGTACACATCAGAAAAGACACAGGCAACATTTAACCTGAATCCCTCTACTGGTGAAATTACGGTGAAGGGGATGCTGAATTACGAAGATATTCGAAATTATGAAATGGAAATCATAGCAATGGATAAAGGAGTCAACAGTTTATCTGGACAGTGCAAAGTAAAAATTAATGTCAAAGATATGAATGATAATCATCCAGAAATATCTATTAAATCATTTCAGAGTCCTATAAAAGAAAACGAACCGATAGACACAGTGATAGCAGTAGTTAGTGTCAGTGATAAAGACTCAGGTGACAATGGAGTGGTTGATCTTCATATTCCAGATAATATGCCTTTCAAACTGAGGGAATCCTCTGATAACTATTATGAATTAGTAGTGTCAGAGCCATTAGACCGCGAGAAGGTCCCGGAATATGACGTCACTTTCACGGTGACAGACAGAGGTTCTCCTCCTTTATCTGACAATGAAACTATGACGTTAGAGCTGCTGGATGTTAATGACAATGTTCCACAGTTCCCTCAGTCATTTTATACTATCCGTGTGATGGAGAATAACGCACCTGGAGCCTTGCTCAGTTCACTCACTGCGTTTGACCCTGACCTCCATGAAAACCAGTATCTAGTTTATTTCATCCTAGAGAAGGAGATAGCCAACACCTCCATGTCCATGCTGTTCTCCATCAATCCAGAGAACGGGAATCTTTACGCACTGAAAACTTTTGACTATGAGATCGAGAAGGAGTTTCTTTTCCACATCGAGGCCAGAGACTCTGGCTCTCCTCCACTCAGCAGCAACGTCACGGTCCACATCATTATTGTGGACCAGAACGACAACGCTCCGGTTATTGTGTCTCCGTGGCGCGCGCACGGCTCGGTGGTGGAGGAAAAGATCCCCAGATCCACCGATAAAGGCTCTCTGGTTGCCAAGGTGATAGCCTTGGACACCGACTCGGTGCACAACTCTCGGATTACCTACCAGTTTCTACAGGTGACTGACGCCACCTTGTTCAGTCTGGACCAATACAACGGAGAGATCCGGACTATGAGGATGTTCAGTTACAGAGATCCGCGTCACCAGAGACTGGTTGTTGTTGCCAAGGACAACGGGGAGCCTGCTCTCTCTGCTACAGTCACCATCAAGCTGTCCACGATGGAGACTGCCGTTAAGGCCTACTCTGACATGACTGAGGTGCCTCTAGAATATGACATCTTCTCAGACCTCAACCTGTATTTGGTCATCGGTCTGGGCTCGGTGTCATTTCTCCTGCTCATCACCATATTGGTCACCATCGTGCTCAAGTGTCAGAAACCCAAGCCCAGCAAAGCGGCTCCTCCCTGCAGGAACAGTGTGATCAGTGAGAGGAACTCCACCATCGCAGATTCCACTCTGGTCTCCAACGATGCCTACTGGTACAGTCTGTTTCTAGCAGAGACCAGGAAAGGAAAGCTGGTGGTTAGACAGCCTGTGCCAAAGGGCTCCAGATACATCGTGTCCAGTATACCGAGAGGGACAGGACTCACAGACACTAGTGACTCAGCACCATCCACTCTGCAGGTATGAGAAAAAGAAAATCTATTGAACACCTGTTACACACAGATGTACCTCGTCAATACCCATCAGCTCTACCCACAAGTGACCACTGTAGTCATGACATTTATGTTCTCAGCGCTTGAGAATTTAACTCTCCTCTTTACTTATTTTAAGTTACTCATGGACCGTGCTTTACAAGTAAAAATGTATTACTCACATTGCCTTCCTTAAAGTCTTTATTCACTTGCTGGAAGCTAGTTTGTACTAAAATCAAGGTGCAATTTTATGAAACTTAATAAGAAACTTGATAAATAATCTGCACCCTCTTTTTCTCATTAGTTTTTCTTTTCTTGCTATTTTAGCCTGAAAGTTTCTGTAATATTTATGTATTGGGAGGAGACATGAGGCTAGATGTGAAGTACACTAATATCATGTTAAACCAAAAGTAACTGCCAGTAGCAATTACTGATAATACACACACGGACACTTTGATTTCATCATGATGGGCACTGGTTTTACGCACAGACAGCCGTGCGTAAAAGTCGCAATAAATAAAGGAAAGAGGAAATTATGATACATAATATATGCCTTTACAATCACTGTATACACGTGTGACAAACAGACAGACAAAACGTTTAGAAAGGAATGCAAATATGTAATGAATGGAGACTGAAGTTCACTTATCAGTATTTCAGAATTAGTTCTCCCACTTAGTAGGTAAAAGTTTAGACACAAGAAATGAAGACTTTACCAAAATACTTTTTCCACTTTCCTTAAACTGTGATAAAACACACTCGCACTTTGACTCTTTAAAACAAAATATTTCTTGTTTTAATTTTAATAACTCGTTTGTTTTAAACAAGTGCAAAGGCTCACACAAAACTACTATCGTCGCTGCTCTACACGAAAACATCCACCGATGATGTCATAGCTCTCGCGATATGTAATTGGAGGAAGGGATGTCAGACATCCTTTAACACAGACGTCACTCTTGGTCAAAGCGTGAAGAAACGTTTTCTTGTAAGATCCTCGTTTCCTTTGTGCGTTCAACAACAAGACAGTTCGTCCACGTTTCAGCACAATTCAAGATTATAACTACAGGAACAGCACGATGGCGCATCATTACCGACGGTTGTTTGAGAGAGGGTACGTGTCTGCATTTCTCTGTCTTTCTGCTATGATGACAACGGTATCTACCGTCACCCATTATTCTGTTCCCGAAGAAATGGAGGAAGGCTCTGTCGTTGCTAATTTAGCAACTGATCTGGGATTAGACGTGAAGACGCTCAAAGGAAGGAAGATGCGCATCGACGTTATGGGCAACAAAAAATATCTTGACATCAACAAAGACACTGGAGAGCTGTTTATTCTGGAAAGGATAGACAGAGAGTTTTTATGCCCCTCGAAGACAACTACGTCGTGCTTTCTTAAATTAGACGCTACAATTGAAAATCCAATACGTATGTTTAATATTGAGGTGGAAATCACGGATATTAACGACAACGCGCCTCATTTTCGAAGAGGAACGATGCATCTGGACATCTCTGAATCGAGCCCCGTTGGAGAGAGATTCTCACTGAATAATGCTGCGGACCCAGATGTTGGAACAAACTCTGTAAAAAATTATCATCTGAGCTCAAGTGAACATTTTGCACTCGAAATTCAGACGAGCAGAGATGGGTCAAAGTTTGCAGATTTGATTCTGAAAAAACCGCTGGACAGAGAGCAGCAGGATGTTCATAATCTAATACTGACTGCTGTGGATGGGGGCGCGCCCACGCGCACAGGTACAGCCAGCATCATTGTTCGCGTGCTTGATGTCAACGACAACGCCCCTAAATTTGAAAAAGACAAGTACAACGTAGATGTGATGGAAAACTCCCCGATTGGCAGTCTAATAATAAAACTGAACGCCACTGATTTAGATGAAGGGTCAAATTCTGAAATAGTTTATTCATATAGTTTATATACATCAGAGAGAACACAACAGATGTTTAACTTGAATCCAGAAAATGGTGAAATCAGAGTGAAAGAGATGATAAATTATGAAGATGTTAAACTTTATGAAATGGAGGTTATAGCCAGTGATAAGGGGCCTAACTCCTTATCTGGACAGTGTAAACTGACAATACAGGTGACAGATATGAATGATAATCATCCAGAAATATCCATCAAATCATTTCAGAGTCCTATAAAAGAAAACGAACCGATAGACACAGTGATAGCAGTAGTTAGTGTCAGTGATAAAGACTCAGGTGACAATGGAGTGGTTGATCTTCATATTCCAGATAATATGCCTTTCAAACTGAGGGAATCCTCTGATAACTATTATGAATTAGTAGTGTCAGAGCCATTAGACCGCGAGAAGGTCCCGGAATATGACGTCACTTTCACGGTGACAGACAGAGGTTCTCCTCCTTTATCTGACAATGAAACTATGACGTTAGAGCTGCTGGATGTTAATGACAATGTTCCACAGTTCCCTCAGTCATTTTATACTATCCGTGTGATGGAGAATAACGCACCTGGAGCCTTGCTCAGTTCACTCACTGCGTTTGACCCTGACCTCCATGAAAACCAGTATCTAGTTTATTTCATCCTAGAGAAGGAGATAGCCAACACCTCCATGTCCATGCTGTTCTCCATCAATCCAGAGAACGGGAATCTTTACGCACTGAAAACTTTTGACTATGAGATCGAGAAGGAGTTTCTTTTCCACATCGAGGCCAGAGACTCTGGCTCTCCTCCACTCAGCAGCAACGTCACGGTCCACATCATTATTGTGGACCAGAACGACAACGCTCCGGTTATTGTGTCTCCGTGGCGCGCGCACGGCTCGGTGGTGGAGGAAAAGATCCCCAGATCCACCGATAAAGGCTCTCTGGTTGCCAAGGTGATAGCCTTGGACACCGACTCGGTGCACAACTCTCGGATTACCTACCAGTTTCTACAGGTGACTGACGCCACCTTGTTCAGTCTGGACCAATACAACGGAGAGATCCGGACTATGAGGATGTTCAGTTACAGAGATCCGCGTCACCAGAGACTGGTTGTTGTTGCCAAGGACAACGGGGAGCCTGCTCTCTCTGCTACAGTCACCATCAAGCTGTCCACGATGGAGACTGCCGTTAAGGCCTACTCTGACATGACTGAGGTGCCTCTAGAATATGACATCTTCTCAGACCTCAACCTGTATTTGGTCATCGGTCTGGGCTCGGTGTCATTTCTCCTGCTCATCACCATATTGGTCACCATCGTGCTCAAGTGTCAGAAACCCAAGCCCAGCAAAGCGGCTCCTCCCTGCAGGAACAGTGTGATCAGTGAGAGGAACTCCACCATCGCAGATTCCACTCTGGTCTCCAACGATGCCAACTGGTACAGTCTGTTTCTAGCAGAGACCAGGAAAGGAAAGCTGGTGGTTAGACAGCCTGTGCCAAAGGGCTCCAGATACATCGTGTCCAGTATACCGAGAGGGACAGGACTCACAGACACTAGTGACTCAGCACCATCCACTCTGCAGGTACAGATCACTCTACTGCAGTTTTAATAAACCCCATTCCTAACTTTATGTTTGTGAAGAAAAGTCTTGCCTACTGTTAATCACAGTTCACACTACACTGATCAGCTTTCAGGTGAAGTGCACTGGCATTTTTTGTTCGTTTCTTTTTGTTTTGTTATAGTAAATTTTGCCTGAAGCAAGCCAGAGTGATATAAAAACAATAAAGATAATACATTTTTCACCGTAAACAACGTCACACTTAATACAGCAATGAATGGATGCATTTAATGTATCATACTAGAGACACTGACAGAAACAACAACAAAACCACCAAGACCGTATGAAAGCTGTGTATCGCTGCACAGTATAAAACCATGTCATGTTTTTTTCCTGTATTACTGATGTCTGTTTTTGTGTTTGCACTACGGATACTTCCCGGCTCACTGTTAAATACCATAACAACATTTCCCATCTCTAAATCTCTGTCTATGTGGTACTTAAAAAAACCTTAAAAATGTAATTTTCATTCAACAGGAAGATCTGTCTACTAAAATGAACGTAAAGATCAAAACTTCTAATATCACCTTAAACAGACCATAAATGACATTAAATCAATGATAACAAAAGTCAGAAAAAATCACCAGTGACATAAAAATATAATAGTTAATAGCAACCAAACTGAAGAGAAAATGTTGCACCTCATAAAATATCTTGCAGCGGTTTGTATTTAAAGGTTTTACAGAGAGACACTTGCTAAAACGACTTTTCATTTGTAACTGCTTCACAGATATTATTGTGTGACTGTTGACTGTGATGTATATATCAAGAGAGTGGTTGTGTATGAGTGTTTTATTCCCTGCAGATTGGTTTGTTGTGTGTATATCAGGGGATTGGATGTCATCAGTGTTTTATTCCCTGCAGATCAACTGATCTATCTATCTATCTATCTATCTATCTATCTATCTATCTAGGTAAGTATACTGCTGGAACATGAACAATGATATTGCTATATACATGACTGTGTTTTAACCCACTTTTATAGAGCAGATTGTAACAAGCTGCAGTATGTGTTATAAAGGGTCACATTAACCATGCTTAGTCTGTGGTAAAGATAACATTTCATCCATAGTGCCTCTACACCAACTCTGTGATCACATACACAAATCATCCTTTTTTGTGCTTGCAATGACCTGACCATTGAACTGCTTGTTTTTTTTTCTCCCCACTCTAAAGTACCCTAAATGAGGGAAGTCCACTCGGCAGCTGGAGGTATGCAGGAGTCTCACTCCCCCACCCCGGATGCCCTTTTTATGAATGATGTTCCAGAACTTAGTGTTTGAAGTGTTTTTTGTGTTTGTTTTGTTCTCAGTGGATCTTTTTTTCCTTTAAAATTATTTTGTCTTGTTTAGTTTCTCTTAGAGAAGGAGATTTCTCTTTTTTAATTGCAAAGGGTCACTCAGCTGACATCACATGCAGTTTGGCAAATCTCCTGTGTTAAAACTTCTTCATGCCTACATTTTGGTTACTCTTACTCACATACAGTCGCATCACTAAAGCCCACTAAAATGTGTGCAGTCTATACACCACAGTAATTCACACTACATCTGTCAGTATTTCAGGATTATGTCCCCTCTCAAAGTTTCAGTTTGACAGAGCCTAAAAATATGACCCTAATGATTTTGATTGACGTCAGAGGACAAAGACATTGGGCCATAATAATCATAGACAACATACAGACTCTGACACTTGGTCAGTTTTGCAGACAGGCAAAAGTGGTGATTCAGATGAAGTAGTATTAAAACAGTATCCCTGTCCTAGTCATAACTTTTGGTGAACAAAGTGAGACTCAAGTAGAGCCAGTCCCTGAGCCACACACTTGTATCCTATAAACACAAAATGATAACATCAACATGCTGCTCTGCCTGAAGGTCATTGATCACAGCTTAAAAAAAAAAAATCCTTCATTAAAACTAACATTTGCTGGCTTTGCTTTTTTCACAATCTGGCTTCTGCTGTTAATACATATGGCAAGAAAACTTTAATATGTCATTAACTGAATCACTGTGTTCTCAAAAGGATCCTGTGCATGTGAGGATAAATGTGTGTTCATCCCCTACTGATCCATCACTAATAGATTAGGAGTGAATTATATTTTTGAATGTTTAAAGGTGTTGCTGTATGATTGGGTTAGATTTACTGTAATTCGTCTGAGTGTTACTCAATGACACTGAATTTTCTGTCTGCTGTAGTGTGAATTGTGACCTAATTCTTTGTGCAGGAGAGGCGCAAAGTGAATCCAGTCACCCAGTTACCTAGCAACCGCTCTCCTTCACATATTATTGGAGCATGGTATTCATTGATAGACCCGTCACCTCACCAGTACATGTTCAAGGATCTGCCCAACCCCTCCACCCCACTCTGTCCTCTGCCTGAAGCCCCTGTCTGAGTGACAGACATCGGCTGCATGAGATGTGTCATTTTGGACAGTCACACGGCTGTCAGTGCTGTGGTCGTTTTCAAGGTTGATCTAATTCTCTTGTCTCGTTGGCAGGCATCCACCACCAGCAGCGGCGGCAGTAGTTCCACATAAGGCCAAACCTCCAGCTGCATACTGCATTGACTTGACGCTGACAAGAAGCTTCACGGAGGAAAGGAGAAACCCCTGCCCGTAAAATGCCCCCACGTCCACCCTGCTCAGTCTGATCCTCACCGTGTATGTAACGCTTTAACACTAAATGGACTAAAGTGGATAGTTGAGGACACAGCCCTCCCCCTCTCTTCCTTTAAGCACATAAAAAGCCAATCAACAATGCCTCTCTGTCCATTCAGTATGCATGATAAGACCGCATGGCTTCAACCACATGCCAAGACTTTTCATACAAAAAAAGAAACATTCAAGAGGAGATACTTAGAAAGAAGCAGACTGTATGAAGAAACTGCACCTGTGGACATTTCAAGAAGCCTCAGCAAGGACGACCTGGAGTGGACATGGGAATATTGAAATGCCTTTGAGAGACAGTTTTCCCTCTCTAAAAATGAAACACATGTTGGATATTACATTGTTAACATCTGTGCTTTGTCTTACTCTATAACAGCATTAATGTATTATATAAGTTAGCCAAGAAGTGAAACAGCACAATTTACTAAATGTCAAAAAAAAAGCACCAACCTGGCTTTTTTAAAAGTATGAAACAGAGGGAATCAGTATTTTATATGTGGTAGCTTTTAGCTGTTTTATGTTTCGTATTGACTTTGTGCTTTATGTGTGATCTAGGCCTAAATATGTCTGAGAGTGCTGAGAGATTAGGTTAAGTTAACCAGAACATTAACAGATAGAAGCGGGGCCTTCAGCCATCATGTATCTGCCTTTCATTTGTGTTTGCATGGGATAATCTGAGTGCTTTGATAGCTTTAGGTATTTTATGATATTGAGCAATCCATTTTCTGTAGCCAAGGCTCACTGTTGTGTTTTTGAAAACAAGGTGGAATAATACATTTTAATGAGGCAACAATGAGGAAGTACAACAGCATTATACTATTAAGTGTACCTTCAGCTTAAACTTAAGTGTACAGTGTGCTTGAATGTTACTTGGAGGGTGGCTATTACTGGAGGATATGAGTTTGGGTGATTGAAGTGAACACAATGAACAAAGTGAGTCTTTGAGAAGGGATTGATTGATATCTCCTCATGACAACTGTATATACACATATACAACTTTCACTTTTTTATTTTCAAAGCCAAATTCTGGATGCTCCCAAACTCAGCGTATTCAGATCGTGTACCAAGTTCAAAACTCACTTAATGACTTAATGTTTACTTTATTGTCGACTGCTGGTTTTACCCAATGGAAGCTGTGCTCATGTGTATTACTGACTACTGTATTTATCAGCAACACATAAATGGGGATATAGATATGACTGATACGTATATATCTTTATCTATAAGTATGCCTTTCTTTTTCAGTACCGGTGCTGAACTTCTTAAGGTGAACAAAAACATGTGCCATCAGATTTATAGGCCAATGAGTATGTGACACAATAAAATAATCTGACATCATGTAGTCGAACTCTTTAGCACAGCTCACATTGCATTACATGTATAAAGGTATAATGTTTAACGGGCAAACATATACAATAAGTGCTTTTGTACAGTGGTACTTTCATGATGCAATATGTAGTAACTTGTGTAACGTGAGCTTACTGTATACTATGTCTGTATGATCTATTAAATACAAAAACAAAATAGGACAACAAACTTTATGGTCAACCTCTGAATCTTTCACATTTAATTTTTGTATCAGAAGTCACAACATTCTTTTGGAACTGCTGCATTATTGTAAAATGAGTTTTAGTTTATGAAGCAGGTCAACCTTCAGTAAATGTACTCTGAAAGAACGTCTGTGTTGACATCTTAATTGATATGATCATGTGATCAAGTGGAACTGTATGTGTGATGACAATGTTAATGAGTTAAAGGCCTGCTTTACGTCATTATGGTGCCTGCTCCACGCTTGTCAGCTATTAACTAACTTGCTAATATCTCACTTCACTTGATATGACAGTTAGCTCATTTCTACAACATATCACAGACAGTAGAGCAGCATCACTCTATCAGTATGATTTTCTTGTCTGAGTCACTTTATGGAGCAGTAAATTGCTTGAATGCATTAACTGCAGTGCAGTTTATGGATATTGCATATTGGAGATTTGTTGATTTTGCTGACTCAGTGGCACGGGTCCCTACCCCCCACTATGGATCACTGAAGCTTTAGGGTGATTGCATGGCCTTCTTGATTTTAAGGAGTGTAAGAAAACTTAAAAATACCTATCTCAGCATTTATTCACAGAGCCCTGACCCTCTGCTAAACAGCCTCATCCTGCATTAGACAAGTTAAAAGAGTTAAAACAAAAAAAGAAAACTACTAATTTTGTCAAAAAGAAGCCTATTAAGTATGTATGAGTGTTTGAAAAATAAAATAAAACAGAATACAGATGGAGAATTGTAGAAAAAGTTCCTAAAAATATCAGGAAAACTCATCTCTGATGCAATAAACAAGGGAAATAATCACTGTACCATCTATCAGCTGTTCTGTAATGTTGTTATACATTTAATATAGTATGAAAAATCCATCAAATGTGTCACTTAGTCAGGGGTCATCAGTTTACTCAATGATAGAAAAAGGGGTGGCTCAAAGAAAAAGGTTGGGGAACCACTGCATTAAGGGACAGCTGTACAGTTAAAAGTTTAAAGTTACAGGGACAGTGTGCATTAATAAACATTCCTGTAGGTGTGCAAGTTTTGCCATCTTGGCAAATTTTTAGCTGCAGTCCCTGGGCAGGTGTGAAAGGCAGGTGAAATACATTAAGACAGGAACAGCAGTACTGTATAAATGCTGTATGGATCTTGAATGTGTTACTCCCCAGCAGAGAAAGTGATGTGCAGCAGCATTAGTCACACTATTGGAGTCAGCCTTAGTAAACAGAACTGTGTTTTGCACATGAGAATAGGGTGGAGTATTCTGCAGATTATTTCTTGCTCTTGTTGTCACTGACATGTTCTCATGGCTGGTGATTATTGGTAACAGCTCTTAACTGTCTCCCTGACATCATTACATCCAGCACACACACACTGGAGACTGCAGTGACAGACAATGTGTTCTGTTATGTCATCCCATTTATGTCACACATTTTCAATTCAAGAGTGTTCAGCCGTTCTAATCCACAAAATGGCTTCGAAAGGGTGGTACATTTGCTTCAAGCCCCAAACCCTGTTAATATTCCAGAGAGTAGACCTTTCTACAGGATGCTCAGAAGTGTGGCTTCTATTTTTATCTCATCATTTCTCTCTGATACTGAGAGAGTGTGAACATGGCAGCAAAACAGGAATGTTGACTGAAGTGGACCCACTGCCTGAACAGAAATATGGATGATTGAAATTAATTTGTCAGTGTTTCATATTAAAGTTCTATGAGACACAACGACAAAGAGGAATCTATAAATTATAGTGTAGTAGTCATGTAGAACTGGGCAAATTGTAAATGAATTACTGGTCTGTGTTTTCTCATTGCTCAACCAAATTGCATTACATAATCAGACTGTTACTATCTTTGCCTTCTATATCTGTATAATTGGCTTTACTTACAAGGGTCTCTTTGTGTATGAAAAATTAAAGATTGACAATCTTCACACAGGGTGGAAGTTCTGTTTGTGCTTCCACCTAACGGTCAAAGGAGAACACTGTCCAAACCCCTGTAGTTCTGTGGCATTGCAGCTAATGTAACTACAGGGTGTGGTGGTAACAAGAGCACCAGAGAACTTTAAACACTGCAACACTGCTTTACCTACTGTGAGCTGCTAGAATAAATAATGAAAAAGGAAATCCATATGAGTGCTATTCATTCCAATAATGAAGTGTGAAAATCATTCACACTGTATGCATTCAAATAAGCATAACACTGTAGTAGTCACAAAAACTTTGTCTATTAACCATTTTTTGGTCCACTCACTGAGTCTCATCAACTTGTCCAGAGAACACTGAGATCACACTGCCAGGTCAAAGTAAGCAGCACGCTATGCTGGTACACAGGTGGAAAATTTCATATCGTATAGTAGTATTTTTAAAATTCTGATATATTTTTATTAGTCTAGTTACATTAGCCACTCTCCAGTGTGTCCTGCGAGGATTAGAAGACTCTGCTTCCTCAGAAGCTTTACACTATTAAAAAGAGCTCATATTGCCCGTGCGTTCTTATTCACATGCAGCAGGAACACATCATTTGAACATTTTAGGGAGCCTTTCTCTCCAATAAAGGTCCTTTTATTTGTTTAAAATACTAATCTAGGAGGCAATACTCTATTTCCTTTCTATTTACATTTGATTTAAAGGCATTAGCATCATTAAGTATTCCTTTTTTATATCCATCCATATCCATTTCCAAACAGATTGAGAATCATTAAGGGTTGCAGATTACTATGTATGTAGTGAGGCTTTTTGTGTAATCTAAGCATCATTCTTGAATTGAGTGAAATGATTTTCTAGTTTCACAATTTGCTAGAAGTCATTCAAGTGCACAGGATGTGTGAGTCAGGACAAGGGGGACATGCAATAGAGGAAATCCATGAAAATACCTCTCTAATGTATGATGGAAGAGGAAACTGGCTCTAGCTAAGTGCCCCCTCTGGACTGTCTTCTCTGGTCAGAGTCAGCACATTCACTATCTGTGAGGACCATCTTTATTCTGCAAAGAAACACAACGTAAAAATAGCATTTATAGGAAAAGAAGCAACCACACTATGTCTCAGCTGGAGCTCTAAATACAATCAAATGAACTATGTCATAAGTCGTAAGATGAATTGCTGAATGAGTGTATAGTTAACATATGGGGATATGTTTTATTACAATATTATACAAAGACTCATCAGCAGGTATGACTAAATGTGAAGTGTTTTGCAGACAATGCGTGTTTGCAGGATTTTTTCCTGAGGCTGGAACAATGAGTGTGTCTGTCTGTGTCTGTGTCTGTGTGCACACACACACATGACATCATCTCCCCAGAGAGATGAGGTCATGTGTGAGCAGGAAATCCTGACATTCAGGCCCACAGGATGAGTTATTTTGACATTTCAGTGGCAAGCACATTTTAGCCCTTCAGATGTGTGCGTCTTTGTAATGTCTTTCAAATAAAGTAAAAATAAAGGTTTTAATATGGGGTCTAATTTAAATAATATTGTGTGTTGTGCATTTCTCAGTTTCCTCTCTCATCACCACTTGACCCTGAGAGGCGACTCCCCCACACTGCCTGATGTCTGCAGCTCTACAGTCCACTGGCAGACTAGCACACTGATACACAACACAAACGGATGCACCAATGTGGAACAAAGCACTAGAACAACCACCAGCTGGCACTAGTAGGCTAACACATGAGCACCTTACATCATGCCTCATTGTGTTTTCTGCATTAGTATTTAAGAGCTGAGGTCTTATCTGCTATGTGTAATTTTATAACGCTGAGAAAAGCGGGATTTTTGTAGTGACATTTCACTTATGCATTATCCAGGCTGCAAGTATGCCTTCATCCTGACAGCCTGATTACAGAATTATTCATATATTATTTTTAATAAACCATAATAGAGGGATACGAGTGTGAGGAGGACCATGTATCTTAAATGTTGCAGAGAATGAGCAGCATCAGGGCATGTGCATACAGCTGACTTTCTTTGTGTGCAGCTCTGCCAGCTCCTGCATCCCTCCCCCTCTGCTTCCCTCCTTCCCGAACACAGCTTGCTTCCAGCACCATGGACAGCGACCTGCCTATTGGAGCTGCGTTGTCATGGTGACGTGCTGTCTGTTGGCTGGAGGTCGCAGTGTGCTCTGGAGCTGCCTGTAATTTAATATTCTAACACCCCCCCACCCCTTCTCTTCCCAGTGCAGCAGCCGCATCTTGCAGAAATCAGATGCGCATTCTCTCTTAAATATTATCGCAACCTCATTCCAATAATAATGGGAATTAGGTGTTTTAAACAGTCTGGTATCATTGATTTAGCGTGAGATGGGAGGAGGTGTTGCACAATGCGGCAGCGCTCATGCACGCGCACGTATGTGTTTGGCCTAGTTCCAGAACCAAGACGTAACCGTAGCACGTGGGAGGGGTGTGGAGTCTCACTGTTCTTTCTGTGTAGGTCATCTTATTTCCTGGCTGCTGTAGTGTGACTGTTGATGGTAAATGTCTATTGTGATGTTTTTTTATTCTGAGTATGCCCTTGCACTGCTGCGGCACAGGGCACAACACACAATGTCATATGAACCACATTGAGCAGAGATGCGAGTGGGCTCCTCACAGATGCATTTGCAGGTTTAGTCCATGGGAGGTCACTGCTCACCTCCTCAATAGGAGGAGGGTTGTGGGAGTGTGCTGAGGAGATCACACAGAGTTTAAGCAGCGAGAGAGTGAATGTCAACAGCTTTACCAACATAAGCACCAACACAATACAGATTTTGCTTTATTTTAGGGTTCCTTCATTTTCCAATAATTTACTATATATTTTTTTCAAATTAATAAACGCTGAAGCAGTATTTCAGTAGTGCACTGTAAATGAAGTAACCACAAATAATTGTTGGCATAACTAGGGAATGTAAATCCGTTGTTAATACGGGTTGGGTTTAACTTTTCCCTTTCACGGCAATCCCCTTTTCACTCTAAAAAATGATCCATGGTCGGTTGAAAATAAAAACATTTGACATTTTTGAGAGGGATGGCAATGAAAGAAACAAGTTATAATATTTTAGATAAAATAGTTTACACTATATAGCAACAAAACTTTTGGATAAATATTAAGTTGGTTCAACTTAAGCTTAAGCTCGAAGTCAAAGCAAATCATGTTGGTTGTACTAAACTAATTGAATTTGTCATTTTATAAAATACTTAGAGGATTGGCTCAATAATGCCAGAGTTTGAAGTACCACAGAAAAAATAAATAAAATAAAATAAGATCAAATAAAACAAACAAACAAACAATAAAATAAAACAAAACAATAAATAAAACAAACAAACAAATAAACAAAAAACATGCAAGCTGTTACCTTATCTTTTTAAAAGTTGATCCAATGGATTTGTTTTAAATAAAACAATTCAGAAACACGTATTAATGTTGTCTTTGTTGTCTTTGACAGACTACTTACTAATTGACGCGCTCGCCTGACCAAACCGACCTTTGCTCATCAGGTGAAAACAAAGAGTCCACCTTTCCTTCTTCTACGTTGATGCATTATTTAATTATCACCGCTGTAGTCTTCAATGAAAAACTTGCAAACATCCACGAATCTGTGTCCATACACCATTCAAAGGTACAAACTTTCACCTTTTCATTGAGCAGCATACACCTGAAAAACTATGTGTGCTCCCCCGTCTAGCAACACCTGTCCCTCAATGAATGGTTCCTACCTATACTGACAGACACCCATGACAATACAGTGACCCCTACAGGACAAATTAGCAACCTACACACGTTACACCATGGATGGCTCCTGTAATAATATTAAAGGTCGACTGTTTTGGCAACAGTGATTTGAACGATAAATATTCACGGGATAGTTGAGGGAAACAATGTAATACAGCAGGATAAGGCATTTAAAAAATACAACTTGAAAGAAGATATATGTGACACTTTGAAAGAGGAGCAGCCTTTAACTAACACACACAGTAATGTTGAAATAGGTCCGTTTCCATAACTGGTGATCATAACATCTACTTCTGCTTAGAGCTTCTACTGTCTGAATCCAGATGTGAAGTATTTCAGCAGCATCACACACTGGAGGCTAAACTGGAAGAAAACGTGTTAGTCACCGCACCATCGTCACAGTGTCAATGGGTGGTGCTGTTACACTGTATATCCCCACAGCGGCTGTGTGTGTGAGGGGGGAATCTATTTTACATGGGCATTCAGTAACAAACCAAAGAGACGGGTTGAAAGACCGGACTATACAGCCTCCATTCCTCTGTCAGGATGATGGATCCCGCAGATCTGTTTTGTTTGTTATCCACCAGAGGAGAGTGAAAAAATCCACTAGAATTTCGTTGACGGATTCAAACGTTAGGTAAAAGACCTTTTTTCCCCCGAACATGGCGACATCGGACGTGAAAGGACAATGGCTGGATGTGTGGATTTCTTTTTGTCTGGCCCTGATGATAGTGACTAATCTGGGAGGAATCTCTGCTCAGATACGATATTCCATCCAGGAGGAGTTAAAATCAGGCACAGCAGTTGGAAATGTGGCCAAAGACCTTGGATTAGATCTGGGAAGACTTACGGATAGGAATCTCCGTGTGGTGTCGGGAACAAAGCAGGATCTGTTCAAGGTAAATCCGAGAGATGGAGTTTTGTTAGTGAACCAGAGGATAGACAGGGAGGAGCTGTGTGCACAAACTGCTCCTTGCATCACATATCTGAAAGCAGTTGCAGAAAATCCACTCGAGATGCACCAAGTAGTGGTTGAAATACTCGATGTAAATGACAATGCGCCGAAATTTCCTGAGGAAAACTACACATTAGAGGTGCTGGAGTCCGCCGTAATTGGATCTAGATTTCAGATGGAAGGAGCACACGACTTGGATGTTGGTTTGAATTCCTTACAAGCATATAAGATAAACCATAACCAGTATTTTCGACTGGAAACAGACGAATTTGGGGAGGACGGAAAGGTGCCATTCCTAATCTTACAGCGGCCTTTGGATAGAGAACACACCGCTCAGCACTGGTTACTCCTAACAGCTACAGATGGAGGAAAACCACCAAAATCTGGCACTATCAATATCACTGTTATTGTTTCTGACATTAATGACAATTCACCGGTGTGTGATAAACAGAAATACACCATTACAATAAAGGAAAATGTACCTGTAGGAACATTTCTGCTGACTGTAAATGCATCTGACTCAGATGAGGGGCTGAACGGTGAGGTCGAATATTCTTTAAGGAGTAAACTTAGAGGACTCTCATCTGAACCCTTTGATTTGGATAGCAGAACTGGCAAACTAACAGTGAAAGGGGGCCTTGATTACGAGGAAAAGCAAGTCTATGAGATTAAGGTCCTCGCTGCAGACAAAGGTGCCGTGTCTCTTTCCACACACTGCAACGTGCTCGTCAGAGTGGAGGACGTGAACGATAACCGACCTGAAATAGACATCACGTCCCTTTCAAGTCGCATCCCAGAAGATGCACCTCCCGGCACAGTGGTGGCGCTGATGGGTGTGACGGACCTTGACTCAGGTGTGAACGGACAGGTGGTCTGCAGTGTGCCCGGTGACTTACCTTTTGATTTAAAGCCATCCCCTGATGGACAGTCATACTCTTTGGTCACCAAAGACTACCTAGATAAGGAAACCATACATATGTATGATATCACAATAACAGCGAAGGATTTAGGGAGCCCCGTCCTGTCGTCTACCAAGGTGATACAGGTAGATGTGCTAGATGTTAATGATAATAGGCCTTTGTTCACTGAAAGCCCGTATACTTTTTATGTGCCTGAAAACAACAAGGCTGGGATGTCAATTTTCTCAGTGAGCGCAGAGGATGCAGATGGAGGTGAAAATGCTGCAGTCACATATTCACTTGACCGTAAAACCCCGGGGCCAACTATAACTTCCTTTTTAAATATAAATGAAGCCAATGGCACCATTTCAGCGCTAAAAAGTTTAGACTTTGAAACAGTGAAAACTTTCCAGTTCCAAGTTGTCGCCACAGATTCAGGAACTCCGTCACTAAGCAACAACGTGACAGTGAACGTGTTCATTCTGGATCAGAACGACAACGCTCCAGTCATCCTGTATCCAGTCAGCTCCAACGGTTCTGCTGAAGGTGTGGAGGAGATTCCCCGCAATGTCAACGCAGGACACTTGGTGACTAAAGTCAGAGCCTATGACGCTGATATAGGATATAACGGCTGGTTACTCTTTTCACTGCAGGAAGTCACTGACCACAGTCTCTTTGCTTTGGACCGCTATACAGGACAGATCAGAACACTTCGCTCATTCACAGAGACAGACGAGGCTGAGCATAAACTGCTCATACTGGTCAAAGACAATGGCAACGTTTCACTCTCAGCAACAGCTACTGTCATTGTCAAACTTGTGGAGCCCAGAGAGGCTTTTGCAGCTTCTGATGTTAAAAGTGCAACTAAAGTTGACGAGGAGGACAATGTGACATTTTACCTCATGATAACTTTGGGCTCAGTTTCTCTACTTTTTATCATCAGTATCATCGTGCTGATTGCAATGCAGTGCTCCAAATCCACAGACTATACTTCCAAATATCTACAAGAGGCTAATTATGATGGGACACTGTGTCACAGCATCCAGTACAGATCTGGAGACAAACGCTACATGTTAGTTGGACCCAGAATGAGTATAGGATCTACTATAGTCCCTGGCAGCCATGCCAACACACTAGTGCTCCCTGACAGGAGGAGGGGATCTGGAGAGGTAAGATCCCTTTTAATTATTTACATAATGCTTTTGCACAACAATATTAAATCATGGAAGAAGGCGCATATTGTTTGCTGGTGTGAAACTGTGCTGTCCATGGTGCTGAAATGTTGTTTGTGGGCTGGTGATGTTGTGATGTTTTTGGTTATACAACTAATGTCAGATAGACCTATATGAAAAATACACTGCCTGTTGTTCTGAATGAAGTTTGTTTTCCTCATTCAGTTAGTGTCATTGCGCTTTTGTTAAGCTAAATGAAACCATAGTATAAAGAAGAAAACAGACTGACAAACTGTCAAACTGTCTCAGTTACATTACTCCGACATAATTTGAAGTTGCCGGTGTCATGTGTCATTGCACAATGCATATCATTGCAGATATTGCCTATTTAAATTGTCCAGTATCCACACACCTGGCTGGGAGTTACTGAGAATCATACCAAACATTTAGTTGACTTGCTGGGACAGGAATACCCAAGCATCCCCCACAGAGTGAGACTATGGGGGAAGTTTTATTCAGCTCACCGCATTTACTTTTCTGAAGTATTTCCAACATGAAGGTATATAGAAGTCGACTGTGACAGAAAACAAGGCAGTGAAGTAAAACACTTGGTATTTCGTATGGTGTTGCAGCCCACTGGTCACATGGTGTCAGTGTGGCCTAGATAATGGTTGTGTTGCTCATTCTGTAGAGACCCTGCCCATCACTGGATCATTTCTTATGGAGGTGGTTTGCTGACGGAGTACACATCGTAGTCTATGTATCAAGTAATACGAATAGCTGTTCATATTAATGTGTGAAGGGTTATAGCTGAGAATCGTGAAATGGATCTAATCAGACTGGTTCGATAAGACATTGGATTATTTTATTTGTGTAAAAGAAGGCGTTAATATTTTTCGCTTCACAATGGGAGGACGAGGACAAAGGCGCCGAGTGAACTGCTGCTGGTTTGCCGGGATTTTGTTGCTGTGCTTTGGGGAACGGATTTTTGCTCAGCTAAGATACTCTGTTCCAGAAGAGGTACAAGTGGGATCTCCTGTCGGAAACGTTGCCAAGGATTTAGGGCTCGATGTTAGCACTTTGACGGACAGGCGGTTTCGTATTGTTTCGGGGCCCAACCATGCTCTGTTCCAGTTGAATCAAAACAATGGAGTGCTGTATATTGGGAAAATCATGGACCGAGAGGAGCTCTGTGATGGGATCAAGGTTTGTTTGATAAACCTGAAAATTGTTGTAGAAAACCCGCTGGAAATACACTACGTAGGGGTTGAAATAACGGATGTAAATGATCATTCACCGACTTTTCCGGAGAGCGAGCAGCGACTGGAAATAGCAGAGAATACACCTCCAAGTACTCGTTTCCAGATTCATGCAGCTAGAGACCCTGATGTCGGTACACAGTCTGTCCGATTATATAAGCTGAGACCAGCTGATTTCTTTGATATTGAAACCAGAGACAGTGAAGAGGATAAGATACCATTTTTAGTACTGAAAAAGCCTTTGGACAGGGAGCAAAAGGCAGAGCACCGTTTAGTGTTAACAGCTATCGATGGGGGCATACCGTCAAAATCGGGCAGCCTAAATCTAACTATCACAGTGCTAGATGCAAATGATAATCGCCCTGTGTTCAGTAAAGATATATACACAGTGTCATTAGATGAAAATGCCCCGATAGGAACTCTTGTAATACAGATAAACGCTACAGATTTAGACGAAGGTTCTAACAGCGAAATTGAATACATGTTTGGAAAAACACAGAAGAAAAAGGTGCATGACACATTTGAATTAGACAGCGTCACTGGTGAGATACGAGTAAAAGGAAAGGTGGACTTTGAGGAAGCAGAAATGTATAGACTGGATATGCAGGCTTCAGATAAAGGACAGCCACCTTGGACGGCTGAAAGTAGAGTTGTGATAAAAATAAAAGATGTGAACGATAATCAGCCAGACATTGAAGTAACATCACTGTCCAATGTAGTGCCCGAGGATTCAAAGCCTGGTACTGTTATCTCTCTCATCAGTGTTACTGACAGAGATTCAGGGGTTAATGGGAAAGTGATTTGTAAAATCTTAGATAATGTTCCGTTTGATTTGACGCCATCCATTGAGGAAAACATGTACTCTCTCGTCACAAAGGGGCGTTTAGACAGAGAAATTGTGTCCAATTATGACATCACAATAACAGCTACTGACTGTGGTGAACCTGCACTTTCCACTGTAAAAGCCCTGAGTGTTCAGGTGTCAGATGTAAATGACAACAGGCCACTTTTCAGTCAGAATCCATTTGAGCTTTATCTGGTAGAAAACAATGCCCCGGGCGCATCGATATTTTCTGTCAGTGCTTCTGATAATGATCAGAATGAAAATGCAGCAATAACATATCACATTGTGAGAGGTGACGGACTGCATCGTGATATGACATCTTTTCTGAATGTCAATTCAGACACGGGGCAAATATCTGCGCTAAAAAGTTTCGACTTTGAAACAGTGAAAACTTTACAGTTCCAAGTTGTCGCCACAGATTCAGGAACTCCGTCACTAAGCAACAACGTGACAGTGAACGTGTTCATTCTGGATCAGAACGACAACGCTCCAGTCATCCTGTATCCAGTCAGCTCCAACGGTTCTGCTGAAGGTGTGGAGGAGATTCCCCGCAATGTCAACGCAGGACACTTGGTGACTAAAGTCAGAGCCTATGACGCTGATATAGGATATAACGGCTGGTTACTCTTTTCACTGCAGGAAGTCACTGACCACAGTCTCTTTGCTTTGGACCGCTATACAGGACAGATCAGAACACTTCGCTCATTCACAGAGACAGACGAGGCTGAGCATAAACTGCTCATACTGGTCAAAGACAATGGCAACGTTTCACTCTCAGCAACAGCTACTGTCATTGTCAAACTTGTGGAGCCCAGAGAGGCTTTTGCAGCTTCTGATGTTAAAAGTGCAACTAAAGTTGACGAGGAGGACAATGTGACATTTTACCTCATGATAACTTTGGGCTCAGTTTCTCTACTTTTTATCATCAGTATCATCGTGCTGATTGCAATGCAGTGCTCCAAATCCACAGACTATACATCCAAATATCTCCAAGAGGCTAATTATGATGGGACACTGTGTCACAGCATCCAGTACAGATCTGGAGACAAACGCTACATGTTAGTTGGACCCAGGATGAGTATAGGATCTACTATAGTCCCTGGCAGCCATGCCAACACACTAGTGCTCCCTGACAGGAGGAGGGGATCTGGAGAGGTAAGTCCATGTTTCGATTTTAATTAAAAATATCTTCATGACCTCACAAAGAACTTACTGCGGGTCACATTAACGAAATTTACTCACAACATATTTGACTACATTTAGAAACATATAAAACAAACTATCTCAAATGTTCATGCACGTCATACCAGTGTCCCTTTCTACCTGTCTAGAAATGTGTTCAAGCTATGAACATGACACCATATTCTGTGATGCTATCCAAGGTTTACACTGCTGTTAAAGTGTAGTATATTGGTTACATTGTGGTGATTTTATAGCTGGGATTCAAGTTGTAAAGCAATACTTATGGGCTACTCCACGGGGACAGCTATACCAACATGACGCGGCGCTGTCCGTGGTGCTGACTGTCACCTTGGTCACTGCAGTGATCTTCACGTGAGAATGTCAGAAAGTTTCGTTTCAGAATTTTAAATATTATGGATTTCAAGGACTAAACTTGATTAAGCACGTTTCAGAGTCTGTAAATAGGTTGTCATGCTACACAGGAACTAAGGGAAACTAGCTATCTGGCAGCGAAATACATAAATTGTATATAAAATCTACATTAAAATGCCCGCAAAAATAAATTATTGTAGTTAAGGAGCTCAGATTTACAAACAATCTGGTATCATAGTTTATGTCGCGGCTTGCTTGAAAAAGCGGTCATAATGTTCCCAGTCCACAAGGTGTCAGTGTCATATCAGCGTACACTGTTGTGTTGTAGCGATGGCCCTGCCCCTTCCACAGAGGTTTTGTTCAGTTCGACACAGAAGAGACAGCACGTTCAAGAGAAACCAGAGTTGCCGTTGTTGGAATTGTACATAGACAAACTGAAATCATGGGATATATTTCAACGATATATTTTGTGGCTTAGACAGTTTCGTTCTTCCTAAGGACCTGTGACTGGATATAAGGATAATAATCAGAACTGAAACGATGGGAGCCGGAGGACAAAGACGAGGATTACAGTCCTGGTGGTTAGCCCTCTGTTTTTCTGTGATGCTCGCCTTCGTGGAGCGGGTTTCAGCTCAGATTAAATATACAGTTCCAGAGGAAGTAAAAGTGGGATCTGTTGTTGGAAATGTCGCCAAGGATCTAGGACTGGACATCAGTTCTCTGAAGGAACGACGGTTTCGTATTGTTTCGGGATCTAAAGATGCTCAGTTTGAAGTAAATCAGAACAATGGCGTCTTGTATGTGCATAAGAATATCGACCGAGAGGAGCTGTGTGAAAGCGTTTCTCCGTGTTTAATGAACTTAAAAATGGTAGCCGAGAACCCCATGGAAATACATTATGTGGGGGTTGAAATCATAGATGTAAATGATAATTCACCGAGCTTTAAAGAGGAAGAGAAAACCTTAGAAATTTCCGAGTCAACTGTTCCTGGCAAACGTTTCCAGTTACCAACTGCGCATGATCCAGATGTTGTCATCAATACTGTGCGGGTGTACAAACTAAATCAAAACGAGTATTTTAGCATACAAATTCGAGAGCGAGGGGAGGACAAAATACCATTCTTAGTGCTGCAAAAGGCTCTGGATCGGGAAAAGCACCATGAGCACAAACTGATTCTGACAGCAGTTGACGGCGGAAATCCACCGAGATCAGGGACTCTTAATATCACAGTCACTGTTCTCGATTCAAATGATAATCATCCTACGTTTAACCAAGACGTATATTCTGTGACAATACCTGAAAATGTAGATGCAGGTACAAATGTAACTAAGGTAAAGGCAACTGATGTGGATGAGGGTGCAAATGGAGAGATCGAGTATTCATTCGGTGGTCAACTTGACCAAAAAATATATGCTATGTTTAGTTTAGATAAAGACACTGGAGAAATTCGAGTAAAAGGAAACATTGACTTTGAGAAGACTGAGGTTTTTAAGTTAGACGTCCATGCCACTGACAAAGGTCAGCCTCCAATGAGTACCGACTGCAGGGTGATCATCAAAGTGCTCGACAAAAACGACAACAAACCTCAAATAGAGGTGACATCCTTGTCAAACACGGTGTCTGAAGACTCCAAACCTGGGACTGTGGTCTCTCTTATAAGCATCACAGACCAAGACGCCGGTTTAAACGGTAAAGTAATATGCAGTCTTTCAGATAATGTGCCATTTGAATTAAAACCATCATATCAAGATAATATGTACTCGTTGGTGTTAAAGCGGCATTTGGATCGAGAATCAGTTTCGCATTATGACATCACAATAACAGCTACAGACTGTGGTCAGCCTCCTCTCTCCACATTCAAAACTCTGAGTATTGATGTTTCTGACGTGAATGATAATATGCCAGAGTTTTTGCCTAATCCAATTGAACTTTACCTAGTAGAAAATAACGTGCCTGGAAACTCAATATTTTCTGTCACTGCTTCGGATAAAGACTTGGATGAAAATGCGGCTTTGACTTATCATATAGTCAGAGATGAAGGAAGTCAAGTTAAAATTGCAGCATTCCTAAACATAAATCCAGATAATGGACACATTTCAGCACTAAAAAGTTTCGACTTTGAAACAGTGAAAACTTTCCAGTTCCAAGTTGTCGCCACAGATTCAGGAACTCCGTCACTAAGCAACAACGTGACAGTGAACGTGTTCATTCTGGATCAGAACGACAACGCTCCAGTCATCCTGTATCCAGTCAGCTCCAACGGTTCTGCTGAAGGTGTGGAGGAGATTCCCCGCAATGTCAACGCAGGACACTTGGTGACTAAAGTCAGAGCCTATGACGCTGATATAGGATATAACGGCTGGTTACTCTTTTCACTGCAGGAAGTCACTGACCACAGTCTCTTTGCTTTGGACCGCTATACAGGACAGATCAGAACACTTCGCTCATTCACAGAGACAGACGAGGCTGAGCATAAACTGCTCATACTGGTCAAAGACAATGGCAACGTTTCACTCTCAGCAACAGCTACTGTCATTGTCAAACTTGTGGAGCCCAGAGAGGCTTTTGCAGCTTCTGATGTTAAAAGTGCAACTAAAGTTGACGAGGAGGACAATGTAACATTTTACCTCATGATAACTTTGGGCTCAGTTTCTCTACTTTTTATCATCAGTATCATCGTGCTGATTGCAATGCAGTGCTCCAAATCCACAGACTATACTTCCAAATATCTACAAGAGGCTAATTATGATGGGACACTGTGTCACAGCATCCAGTACAGATCTGGAGACAAACGCTACATGTTAGTTGGACCCAGGATGAGTATAGGATCTACTATAGTCCCTGGCAGCCATGCCAACACACTGGTGCTCCCTGACAGGAGGAGGGGATCTGGAGAGGTAAGACTTTGAAAACTTCAACAAATACAGCTCTTGGTTTGATTGTGACCGCTGTCCATGGTGCTGAAACGCTTTGGCCTTTCTGTTATTAGGCAAAAGAAACGTACTTAGAAATCATTGCTCTTTTAAGACTTGGTTACAGTTGCGTCACAAAACCGTCCATGGAATTCTCACCAATAACGGATAACAGATATGAAGATGGTGGTGTGTCTGCTGAGTTGTGTGAGCAGTTTGTATGAGCTTTTTTATTTAAATACTGAGCTACATGTCACTGAAAAATACAGTTCATGTGAGCCTGATTGTGACTGCTTTCCTTTGTTACTGAAACACTGTCACTAATTGTGTCAAACCAAAAACTAATACAATAATATATGTTAATATAAAAAAGAAAATATTTTAAATCATCACTGAACCTATGCTGGAAATTAAGAATTTGAGCGAATAAAAATCTTGTTAAAGACAAGTAATCTGTGGAAACTTCCCACTTCACACACCCAATAACAGAGAGACAGAGAGGAACAACAACAACAAAAAAAAAGTTAAAATCGTGTTTTTCTTTTAAGGTCCTATCTGTCCATTGGCATATTATATATTGTAACAGGGACATACTAATTTCACGACATAAGTCACAAATTATGATTTCGGAGAAAAGGGCAGTATATCCTTGAATATATATACATATAGTCTATTACGATCCTTGAATGTCCTCCGGGTGTCACTGTAATATTGGGAAACGATAGAAGACTTTGTCCCTCCCATGAAGAGGCTTTTGTTTGCCATCGAGAGCAGAGCAGGCATTGGAATCATACACACCAGCCGATGGATTCACATTATGCATTTTGTAGCTATGCGTTACTGAGCGGGTTGACATAGACCATTTCTCGTCGCACTTGCAGCTTTACTTGTTTTTCCTCAAAGCTGTATTATAACGATGGGGACTGACAGAAAACATGGAAGGAGGGAGTGCTGGTTGTTTGTGTTTCATATGGCTCTGCTGCTTTTTATCGGAAAACAGGCTTTGGCTCAGATACGATACTCTATTCCAGAAGAGGTGAAAGAAGGAACTGTTGTTGGAAATGTTGCGAAGGATCTTGGCCTTGACATCAGCTTGTTAACTGACCGGCGATTTCGCGTTGTTTCGGGATCAAAGGACACATTTTTTGAGGTAAACCAGAACAATGGGGCTCTGTATGTGCATAAGAAAATCGACAGAGAGGAGCTGTGTCACGGTAGTGGTGCGTGTCTGATGGAGCTAAAAATCCTTGTTGAAAACCCTCTGGAAATGCACTATGTAGTTGTAGAAATTACAGATGTAAATGATCACTCTCCTAGTTTCCCCGAAAAAGAACAGATATTTGAAATCGGTGAGCAAACATTACCAGGGAAGCGATTTCAGCTACAAACTGCTCGTGATCCCGATGCTGGAATTAACTCTATTCGTACATACACTTTAACATCAAATGAACATTTTGAAGTAGACATCCGCCAAAGCGACGAGGATAAGATACCATTTTTAGTGCTGAAGAAATCGTTAGACAGAGAACAAAAGAACAAACACACGCTGCTGGTTACAGCAGTTGATGGAGGCAAACCTCCAAGATCAGACAGGGTAAATGTTTCTATTATTGTTCTTGACAGTAATGATAATCGCCCAGTGTTTACTCAGGAGATTTACCAAATTGCAATAAATGAAAATGTTCCAATCGGTACGTCAATATTCAAAATGAATGCAACGGATCCCGATGAAGGCACCAACAGCGAAATTGAATACAGCCTCGGAAAAAATCTGAAGAAAAAAGTCCATGATATTTTTGAATTGGACAAATTAACTGGAGAGATTAGAGTTAAAGGAGTGGTGGATTATGAAGAAAACGACGTATATAAACTGGATGTGGAGGCGTCCGATAAAGGAACACCTCCACTGACAGGTGAGTGTAGAGTTGTTATAAAAATTACAGACATCAACGACAATCCACCAGAAATAGAAGTCACATCACTGTCAAATACAGTGTCTGAAGACTCAAAGCCTGGTACAGTTATTTCACTGCTTAGTGTGACTGACAAAGACTCTGGTGTCAATGGAAAAATAATATCAAGCATAATCTC